AACGAGGAGGTTTTTGAGCTCCTTGTGAAAATGCATCGATCTGGGATGATGTTAAGTAGCTATACTTTAGGAAGTGTACTTAAGGCATGCTGCACCAAGGGTATGAATCGATTTGGTGAAACGCTTCATGGATACATAGTCAAGCTCGGTTTGGATATAGACGTTGTTGTAGGGACTGCATTGCTCGATATGTATGCAAAGAATGAAAACTTACTCAGTGCTATTCAAATTTTCAAGTTTACACCCAACCCTAATCTTATCACGTATAATGCTATGATTGCTGGCTTCCTGCAAGCAGGGACTAACTCCACTGAATACGCACGAGAAGCACTTCATCTTTTCTCTGAGATGAAAAGGCAACGAATGAAGCCCTCTAAATTTACATTCTCAAGCATACTCAAGGCTTGTATTGGCGATGAAACTTTTGAGGTTGGAAAGCAAATTCATGCTCAAATTTGTAAAAACAATCTTCAGTCTGATGAGTTCATTGGCAGCGCTCTAGTAGATTTGTACTCATTTTCTGGTTCGATTGAAGACGGGCTAAGGTGTTTCAACTCAACTCCTAAGTTGGATGTCGTCTCATGGACATCCATGATAGCAGGCTCTGTTCAAAATGGACAGTTTGAAAATGCCCTGTCTTTGTTCCATCAGCTCTTGGCATCTGGAATTAAACCAGATGAGTTTATCATATCTAGTGTGATGGGTGCTTGTGCAGATATGGCCACGGCAAGATCTGGAGGGCAGATTCAGAGTTATGCATTAAAATCTGGGACTGCCAATTTTACCATTGTTCAAAATTCACAGATTTGCATGTATGCAAAGTCCGGAGACATTGATTTGGCTAAGCAGACATTTCAGGAGACAGTGAGTGCAGATGTGGTATCCTGGTCAGTGCTGATATGTAGCACCGGACAACATGGATTTGCCAGAGAAGCTTTACAACTTTTTGAGTTGATGATTACTACTGGAATTGAACCCAATCAGGTCACATTTCTTGGGGTTTTGACTGCTTGTAGCCATGGAGGTCTAGTTGAAGAAGGACTACAGTTCTTTGAGACCATGAAGAAAGATTATGGCATAGCAGCTAGTGTAAAGCACAATGCTTGCATTGTTGACCTGTTGGGCCGTGCTGGGAGGTTAGAAGATGCCCAGAATTTCATCTTTGATTCAGGCTTTGAAAATGATCCAGTATTATGGCGTGCCTTGTTAAGTGCTTGCAAAGTTCATAACGACACTGTCATGGCAAAACATGTTGCAGACAGAGTAATAGAGCTCGAACCTCAAGCAGCTGCATCTTATGTGCTTCTTTACAATGTCTACAATGAAGCTGGGAAGGAGAAGCCTGCTTTAGAAGTTAGGAAGCTCATGCAAAATAGAGGGGTTAAGAAGGAACCTGGTATAAGCTGGATTGAAGTAGGAAGCAAAGTTTATTCTTTTGTGGTCGGAGATCACTCTCATCCAATGAGTCAATTGATTTACTCACGGTTGGAAGAAATGTTGGAAAAAATAAAGAGAATTGTCTCTGATAATGCGAAGCTTCCTTTGAGTATCTCAGGAGTTGAACTTAGTGGCAAAACAGGCCTGAAGGGCCACCACAGTGAGAAGTTAGCGGTAACTTTTGGAATACTCTTTCTACCAAAATCAGCGCCAGTGAGAGTGATGAAGAATTTGAGAGTCTGCAGTGATTGTCACACGATAATGAAGCTCATATCTGAAATAGAGAAGAGAGAAATAATTCTTAGAGATGCTATTCGTTTTCACCACTTCAGAGAAGGTTCTTGTTCTTGTAAAGATTACTGGTAGCAGACGACGTAGGATCAGTTCCAGGAACTAGGAAACAAAGAGCATTTGTATTCAGAGGATTAATTAGACAGGGAGGACTAGGAGAGAAATTGAAGATTTCTTCGATCATATGATAATTCTCTGAGGTGGTTTAATAAACACATACACACAAGCAGTCGCCATTATGCAGGCGTGTGGAAAAGGAAATCTTTGTTAGACATGGTTGAAACTTTGAATTTTTGTATGAACTCGTGAAAGGATCTAAGCTTAAAGAGTGAAAAGAGCATAATAATTGTACATCAGAAAAAGTTAGCTCTTGTTTCATTGCTTCTTGCATTTCAAGTGGTAAGAACAATGTTCAATTACTCCTTGTATGTCTGTAGTTTTACTTTATTCTGAATATACTTTACTTTAATCTCTGCAATTTAGAAATTTGCAATTAAATATTCTAATCTTTTAAAAAACGTTTAATTGTTCCCGTAAACTTCTTCCAGTATATTGTTAATTTTGTTAACGAGGCCGACTAATCCCATTATACAATCTATACACCAAGATAGTGCTTTTGCTTGGAAACAGCAGGGTACAAATCACGATCCTTGCTCTACACCAAAAAAATGACGTGCTAAATTCTAGACTTGCTGCCTGCAAAATTCACCAATTAATGGTGTGGGGAAAACATTCTTCAAATATCAAGATATAAATCTAGTCCCTGAATAAAATAATTAGGCTTCTGAAATATGAAACGAAAAGGAGAGAAAGATGCGGAAGCTACACGCGTTGTGCCGTTGTCGGTCTGAAACTGGTCAATACTGCTTCCTCCTCGTCCCCACACCGTGTCCCCCACCGTTTTTCTCACATCGAAAATGTTAAACCAAAAAAATCTGGGGCATTCCGAGAATTGAACTCGGGACCTCTCGCACCCTAAGCGAGAATCATACCACTAGACCAAATGCCCTTGCTGTTCGGCTGTTGAAGAAAAACTAATATATCTGTTTTCCTCCGCCGTCGCTCTTTCTCTTTTTATTTCTTATTTTAAATCGTTGAAATTTTGAAATAGTTTTTTGAAAATTTTTAAAACCCAAAAAATTTTATGACATTAATAGCTTTTTCCTTTTTATTATTATATTACTGTGGTTTGGTGGATTTTTGTTTCTTTCTTTTGCAACACATACGAAACTGAAAAATAAACGAGAAAAAAAAAAAAAAATCAAAGGCATGAATATTAGGCACGATTAATGATAATAACTCAAAAAAAAAAGGTAGAGTATAATATTAAATGACCTGTGGGCTGTACATGCATCCAAACTCGTTATGTGTTGTACAAGAATCTCTCAAAAGAGTTTGGTTTCTCTCATTTTGTGAAGTTACAATTAATGGGGAGAAAAGAAACCACATGAATGCTTGTAAGACTCTATATATCCCCTAAATATATGTCTATAAATATAATAAGGATTTCATAATTATAACAATAAACCATTATTTAAAACCAAATATGCATGCATCCATGCGTGGCCGGCCGATAGCATCTAAATGAGATCAGAAGCATCGTAGTCCACGAAACCATCGGGGCCGGGAGCTGCGGCGTCGCTACCAGATGGCGAGGGGGCGTCGACGTCATCGGGAAGGTCGTAGTACTGGATGCGGTTGTCGACGACAGACGGTGAAGGTGCTGAAGAGGGAGAGGCCCAAGGAGCCGATATTGAAGGAGAAGAAGAAGATGATGATGATGATGAAGATGAAGGAGAAGGAGAAGACGAGGGCGAAGATGAGGGAGAGGAAGAAGGAGAAGGTGAGGGAGCCACGTCGGAGACGGCGACGGCCACGCAGAGCAGGGCTGTAAGGGTGGCGAGCTGAAGTGGGGCGAAAGCCAAAGCCATATTTAATTTTTCTGACCTCCGGAGTACGATGACGACAGAAGTTATTTGATTTACAGTAATTCCACGAAGAGATATAGGGCGAATTGCAGAGAAAGATGACGAGTGAGAATGATGAACATGAATGGGCAAGTATGAGGAAGGTGGCTCCTTTATATTTATAGGTTTGGAAGAGCGGAAGCCTGTGGTGGATACATGACAGAGACTCCTCGTCTTTCTCATACTGTTATTAATCTGCAACGTTGGTTAATTATAGTTTTTTCACTCCTTTTTTTTTCATTTTTATTATTGTTACCTTTTTTAATTCTCATCTGTGTTTAAAAATTATACGGGTGGGTCTGTAAACATTAGTTTTATGCTAAGTGATGTTGTTTATTACTATCTCCGGTCCTAAATAAAAGAGATAGTTGACTAGTTTGAATAGATTAAAAAAATAAGTTAAGTTAGTTATTTGTGATAAATATGTATTGTCTTTCTTAAATATCCTTACTAATCAAATTTATTAGCTAGAACTACTGTTATTAGAAGACTATCTCTGAAAAAAAATAGATAAATATGAGAGACAAAATAGATTGATATCTTATATTTAGGATTAAAATAAAAGCTAAACAAGATCTTATATTACCGCAGACCAAGGGGCACACAAGTTTAGTAACGTAAGAGAAAAAGACCTTGGTAGAGTGATGATGTATAAATGTGTGCGTGTGTCTATACATACATACATATATAATAAATAGAGTGATGCATTTTGTAATAATGGGCTTTATAAGTGAAATAATGAGTGCATGTTTGGAGACGTGATGGATGAATGAGTCCCACTTCCCACATCATCATCAACATCAACCTCCAAGTTCAAACCCCTTTTGCAACAATATGGATAGATACCTTTGACCCCAGTGCCAATCATCTTTTGCTCCACGATTGACGCCAGAAAGTGGCTCACTCCAAATTCCCATTTTATTTTATTTTTCTCATCTTGACACTAATGCGCATATATATATATATAACATGCTTGTTTCTAATATACATATAATGCTGACTCCCCCCCCCCCCCACATCATTATTAAGGTAACTTTTAGTACAGCTTTGTCCGAACAGAGAATGAAGACAACGTAATGCACATGGACTGGATCGCATCATTTCAAAGCTCTTCTTATACTTTCAATATTATATTGTGTGTTTGATCTCATCATTCATATGAACTGAATAATGTTCCCTTTTTCATATAAATAGCTCCACATCTAGCAGAACATAGATGGGTTAGATTGAGTGAGACCAGAGAAAGCAGATAAACAAAGCTTGAGTTGCCAAATAAAACTGTCCTATGGTTAAGAGGCCATAGGCGTGCACATGAAAAGTTGAAATATCATTGAATCAAAACCAACAACACTTGCTGCCCTTGCTTTCCATTGCACAGACCTATGTTACCAATATGTGTGTGTGTTGCTATTCGCACCACACAAATTTTGAAAAGCAAAAGCTAGAGGTTATGACTTGTAAAATAAAACAAATAACTAGTGAAACTGCTGGCAAATGAAAGCCACCAATCCCAGACGAAACTGATTTTTCTGGTTTCTTATGGTTAACTTTCGCTTGCTTTCCCAACAGTTATAGTGTCATATATATCAGCAACTCATGCCCTTCCTGCATGTGAGTACACCAGCAGTCATGGTCATGGAGCCAACAAGAGAAGAAGGTCTGGCGCTGAGACTTGAAGCCCTAGCGTAGCTTGAAGAAGCGCCGGCACCAGATTGCCTGAAATAAGCTCCGTTCAAGAACAAGTCACCTTCTGATCTCCAGTTCCAGTTCATCCACTCTCCTTCTGCGGCATCCTCGTGCTTCGTCACCTCCTTACTAAACCTGTTATCTGGTGCCAGAAACCTATTCCCCTGGCTGTTTATGGTAGGATTCGCACTCCCACCTATCGCATACATTTCCCAGTGTGTATAATCATTGTTCACCACATGAAAATACCCGTGCCTACACCTGCAACAACGTTGTTGTAATTAAACCACCACATCACTCTGCCATCAAAGCACAAATCTGAGTTTGAGACAATGAAGTTTGATTATTATATACGTACCTTGGCATTCTCTGCACGAGGCCTTCTCCGAAGTGATTGAAGGCGATAGTGACCTGCATGTCCTTGTCCTGAGTGTAAGAATCACTGTGGCCTAAGAGCATGACTTTATCATGGTGGGTCATGTAGTTGTTGGAGATAGTGATGGCTGTGGATCCATGGATTGCGTCAATGAGCCCGTCGCGGCAATTAGAGAGCGAGCAGTGGTCCACCCAGATATGCCTGGAATTAAATATGGAGATTCCGTCCCCGTCGGACACCGTCCACCACCCATAGTGGCGAGGAGAGTCTCTGATATCGGCGTGCCCGGTGGGCTTACAATCATGAACGTGAATGCCGTGAATGATAATGTTGCTAACGTAATGTATCGTTATGCATCCGCCGCCTGCAATGTGAACACTCGCTCCCCTTCCGTCAATGGTCTTGAACGAGTTCATCACCAGCTCTTGCTTTAGGGTTATCACCATGTCTCTCTTGAAGATAATCCATAACGGCTCGTCTTGTATGACGGCATGTCTCAGAGTTCCTGGCTTAGGGTTCACCGGGTCGTCGTCTCCGGAGTCTGTCACCACATAGACTCGACCGTTTCTTCCTCCCATGGCGTCCTTGCCGAACCCGATGGCGCAGTCGGCTAGCCTCTGCCGGTTCCCCTCCCAGTTCGGGTCGCACCTCCAGCAGTCGTCGATGGGGTTGCCGGTGCCACATGATAAATACCCCAAATTTCTTCTAGAGGCATTGATTCTTCTGCAACAATAATAATAACGACAATGTGAGACCATTAACTTGTTGAAGCTAATTTATAATCATGCACTAGTACTGGAATGGTGATGAATTACCTGTGCACGTCTTGTACAACTAGCTCAGGGTCTAGAACTGCGACGCAGGAAACAATGAGAGGGAGACAGAAAAGAAGAAGAAAGCAAGCTGCGAGAGGAGGCATCTTCGCTTTGAGCGTTTCTGATGAACAAAGTGTGGAAGTGGCGGGGGATTTCAGGTGGAGGAGTGGGGTTTTGAAGGAAGAAAAGCCGAGAGTAATGGCGTGATTAATAGGACAAAGTGGGGTCCATATTATCGTAATTTCTGGTTTTTGATTCGTATTTTTTCCACTGACGAAGAAGAAACAGCCGGTTTTGAGGCCAGAGTCAGTTTGAAACCGTTACATATATTACCTCCGTGAAATCAAAATATTCAAGCTCCTCAAGTCAAATTGGTTGACCTCTGTCGCCAACCTTGTAAAGGTCTTATTCTCACTGTAGTCACCAAACCACCTTAAATCATGGCATGTTCAGCTACAGGGTGATATCCAAACCGCCTCATTTATAAGCGTAATATATGCAAGTTTCAGATATGAACTGAACTGGTTCTGTGTCTGTGCATGGCTAAATCAAACATGCGTGTTCCTAGCTTATTATTCCTTAATTTCCAGTGAGTAATTTTAGTTTATCCGTAGGAGTAATAGTAGTTACATTACATTCGTGGGTCATTAGTTGTTGTTTGTCTTGTAATAACACATAATTAATGGGTAGAAAATTAAAAAAAAAAAAAAACTAGTCACTTGATCGACAGTACCATAATAGCAGTACCACAAACAAACAACCAAATAGCTTTATCCTTTGTGCGTGTTAGTTGGGCGACACAAAAGTTATTTTTTCACCTTTGGGCCAATTGAAGGTACTGATTTTGCCACTTCTATAATTGGGACATTTTTTCTTGACCCTCCTGTAATTGTAATTAATATGATTGCTGTCTTTGACTTTTTACTCAGTCATTCACACACACAGAGACCAACTTCCTCATCACCTCATTCACATGCTCTCTCTCTCTGTTCTTTGCTTTGATATATTCGGTTATATTGATTTTGTTCAATTATTTTTTAAGAGAATGGATGAATCATTATGTGCCAGCTTAGCCAGCTTGGACATCTTATCGCAGAACAATCCCATATGATGTATTTCTTGCTTTTCCCCACTGACTGCGGAACATATTTCTCATGCAAATGATATATTTTACACTTAAATAATTTCTTTTAAATAATACTACCTCTGGCCCTTAATATAAAATCTTATTTAACTTTTATTTTGGTCTTAAATATAAGACCCTAATCTACTTTATCTCTCATATTTATTTATTCTTTACTAAGGTAGTTCTTATAATAATGATAATACAGTTGATTAGCCATAATATTTAGGAAAGACAACACTTATTTATTATAAATAACTAACTTAACTAATTTTTTTAAATATATTCAAATTAATTAATTAGTTCTCATATTAAGAACTGGAAGAAGTGTGATTTAACTGAAAGTCCAACAAATTGATTATAACAGAATTGGTAGTTGTACGGTGAATCAGGCAAATGTGAGTTTAGAGTATCTTCAAGTAAAATGGTCGTGACTTATCTACATGCATATATTAGGACAAGAAAAAATGAGGGACAAAAAAAAAAAAAAAGAAACTTTGCCAGCTTAACTCAATAATAACCAGAGATGGGTCAACTATTTAAATTATCAAAATTTTAATCGCATATATGAATATTTTCTTTGGGTAAAAAAGGAAGAGGTGGTGAGAAATACAAGTACTATGCGTGTGTATTTTCATGGTAAATGAGTTTTCTTTCCCTGACTAGTGAGAGAGTAATTTAAATCATTTTTTTTACCAACTAATTTGAATCATTTTCATTTATAACAATTCTGTGATTGTCATTGAAAAGTTGAAAAGCGACATTAAAAAAAAAAAAAAGGCCCCTTTTTTTTAATTTTTATTCTCCCCCTGCCCGAATTTTTCGCTCTGTTTTGAACTTTTGCTCCACATTCCGTACAGAACACGTTAAATTGTTAGAGCTGTGATCGTCGATATCTTGGTGGGTTGCTTACGACTGATCGCAACTGAAAAGCCGGTCCAAAATATGTAATTATTGCACTTAAACTCGATGGAACAATCTAGAAATGTTACTGTAAATGCCAACTAACCTGCTTTTTTAGTATGATCAGGATCCAAACATCAGGGGCTCCCCCCCCCACCCCAATTTTATCAAGATGCAGACCCAATCACTCTGTTAAGTTGCCCGAAAATATGATGACTCTGTTCCAGTAGATTTCCAAGTACTCATAGTTTAGTTTAACATTTAAAAAGCCAAAGTAGGAAATATAATAATTAGTCCAGTTCAGGTCTTCAGGACACCCATAATCTGTGGAAGTTGGGAAGCAAACTAAAAAAATTGACAAAAAAAAAGGGGAAAAAAAAAGACTCAAGGGAAACAAAAAGACGAGATTGTTGTTGTATTTGCATGTACCTATGCTGGAGTAGGACAGAAGACGTAGCTGTCAAAGTCACAAAAAGCTGAGCTATAACATTGAAGGTATCACCAGTTTTAAACTGGAAAATTGATGACCATTGTTTATGACGAAGTGTGCGTGTTGATCTCCGCCCAAATGAGGCCTTCTCTTTGCTTTTATCCAGCCTCATGATCTTCCTCTGAACTCTCTGTACCATTCATTCCTCATTCTCCCTCTGGAACTGTTTGTTCTTCAATATGGCTCCAGCACAGGACAGTACTGAGAATAACGCTTCATATACATACAAAGTCACTGTGATTGGAAGTGGCAATTGGGGCAGTGTTGCTTCTAAGCTTATCGCCTCCAATGCTCTCACCCTCGCTTCCTTTCATGGTACTTTTCTATGATTCATTTTGTGCTTTCTGTAAAATCTTGAATCTGCATCTTGATGTACTGTATGATTAATTTAGATGAAGTTAGGATGTGGGTGTACGAGGAGACGTTACCTAGTGGCGAGAAACTCACAGATGTTATCAATCGAACTAATGTAAGTAGAAGACATGTGCGTCACTCTAGCTGTGCATGTAAATACATCAGTCCAATAATGTGTCCTACGGTACTTACACAGGAAAATGTTAAATATCTCCCTGGAATTAAGCTTGGAAAAAACGTAGTTGCAGATCCAGACCTTGAAAATGCAGGTGGTAATATATTTCTTTTTCTTGTTCATACGGGACACTATTCATTAATCACTTTTATCGTTAGGGGATTGGTGGTTAAATTGACTGGGTAATTATGCAGTGAAAGATGCCAATATGTTGGTGTTCGTGACCCCACATCAATTCATGGAAGGGATATGCAAGAAGCTAACTGGGAAAATTGGGACAGATGCAGAGGCTATTTCCCTAGTGAAAGGTATGGAGGTCAAGATGGAAGGACCATGCATGATCTCTAGTCTCATCTCCCAGCAACTAGGAATCAATTGTTCTGTTCTTATGGGAGCCAACATAGCAAATGAGGTAGTTAGAAGAACCTTTAGTTAATTTCTATGATAAACACATAATGCCCCTTGGCTGTTGACTAAATAATTCTGTTTACACATACAGATAGCCGTAGAGAAATTTAGTGAAGCAACAGTTGGATATAGGCAGAACAAGGATGTTGCAGAAAGATGGGTTCAATTGTTTAGTACTCCCTATTTCATTGTCACAGCTGTGAGTGCATCACATTGTCTTATTGATGCACAACAAAACTGGTTAAAATTACTCAATCAAGAGGGTCTTTGTCAAGTAAATTTTGACATGGCACAAACAATGAAGATTGTGCCTTATCAGTCATATGATCATGAGTACTTCCTAATAATTATAAGACGTTAAGATTTGCTTCTTCTTCTTTTTTCATTTTTTTATTTAATAAACAGGTCCAGGATGTTGAAGGAGTGGAACTGTGTGGAACTCTGAAAAATGTTGTCGCCTTGGCTGCAGGTTTGTAGTTTGTAGTACAGTACTGTGCTCTCGTTTTCAACTTTGTAAATGACCAAGAAATAAACACAAATGGGACAGGTTTTGTTGATGGCTTGGAAATGGGAAACAATACAAAAGTAAGTTTCAAGGATGTCATCTTCAGAAGGTTTCCAAAACTTGATCCTTATTTTCTATCTGATTTTGCCCATGACCATATGCTTAGGCAGCAATAATGCGACTTGGTCTGAGAGAAATGAAGGCATTTTCGAAGCTGTTGTTTCCGACTGTTAAGGACAGCACTTTTTTTGAGAGTTGTGGTGTAGCTGACCTTATCACGACATGCTGTAAGGAACTTTACTGACTTCACTTTGCCCCTCGTTACTTCCTTGGTATTTATCCCAAGTTAAAACCATATCTTCTGTGACAGTGGGTGGAAGAAACAGGAAAGTTGCTGAGGCTTTTGCAAAGAATGGAGGGAAGAGGTTGGTTTGTCCTCATTCAAGGGTATCTCTCTGGTGAGAAAAGGAGAGTTCTTTGTCCAACGTTTCTGCTTCTTTTCTTACAGGTCTTTCGATGAGCTTGAAGCAGAGATGCTGCAGGGGCAAAAGTTGCAGGTGCGTACATGAAACTATCTATTACAAACTGTAAAATCATGTGCATTGGTCGTACAGAGTATTTTATTAAGTCTAACCAGTTGCAATTATAACTGTATAATTACTTCTCTTTTCGTCCTAACTCAAGTTTCTTGCACCTAGGGTGTCTCCACTGCAAGAGAAGTTTATGAGGTTCTGACACATCGTGGATGGCTGGAGTTGTTTCCCCTCTTCTCAACCGTGCATGAGATATGCACTGGCCGCCTTCCCCCATCAGCCATAGTTGAATACAGCGAGCGGTAACCCAGATCCTCATGACCTAATGCTATGGAAAATAATGGTTTCTTGCAGCAGAAGTTGCATTTATGATTCCAAGAAAAGTTGACTACAGGCATGCATGTGCAATAGGCCTTAGGTATGCATGTGCATCAACCGTGGAAGGACTGTGTAACTCTACACGGCTTTTCCCCACCAAAATCTCAGGCCAACAGAAAAGTTGACTCTTTCATCATGTATTATTTTGCCACTTTAATTTTTACAAGAAATAGATATGCCTAGAATAAAGAGGTAAAGTGTAATTTCAGATTAAAAAGGTTTTCTGGCTTTTAGAATTTATGAACTGAACTGTTAGTTCAGAGTTTAAAACGTCTGATTGATAATATACTCCAAGAAATTCACAAAGGGGAAGAAAGGCCGAACCATCTAAGGGCTCGTTTGGTACACAGTACACGATAAAGCATGATAATATAAATGGAAAGTGAATCCCAATGTAAAGCCAAACCCTTCTTTTGATGCAAATTGCTATTAACATATATTCATAAACCATGCTACGACCTATGATATAAAGAAGGAGGAAGAAAAATGCAGAAAGACAACCAATACAAGAATCAAATTTGGTTATAATAAGAATTATCCAGTCCTAATTCTATCCAGCCGGTCAACACTCTTCCGCGCCTTTTCCAATTGAAGGTCAATGCTCTTTCGAGACTTCTCATGACAGTCTACGCTTCTCCGAGACCTTTCCACATGATCAAAGGAAATTCGCAATTTCTCTAGCTTATCAGCATTATTAGTCAAACTTCTCAGTTTTTCTGGCCTATCTGTGCTCTTCCTTGGTTTCTCTCTCCGATCAGTGCTCTTTCTACTAACTTCAAGTATATCAGTACTCCTTCGAGGCTGTTCAAATTGATCTGTGCTCATCCTAAAACTGTATCTTTGAGATTGGTACTTCTCAACAGAGGTTATAAACTTCTTTAGATGCCTGATATACTCGGGATAGAGCTCCAAATTACAGTGCTTACCTCCCTTGAGCCACAGCGGTTCATACTTCTCTTTACATAGCTCCCATAGTTGCTTACCATGGGAGCAATCCACGACTTCATCTGAAGTTCCCTGCAACATATATGAATAGGGACAATCACAACCACAAAATTTCAGATTCATCACTGTACAAATATTTGTGAGTATGTCATATTGAGACGAATAAACCTTGTTTATATTTGAACCATCTGGCAAATCAGAAAAAATAAATATTGATAGCCAACAACTTAGTGTTAACTAAAGATCTATAGTCTAAACTTCAAATATTTCTACCAGCTAATTAATGCATTTTTCGCTAAACAGACTAGTGCTATAATAAAGAGGCAAACAGAGTTTGAAAGATTGTAGATAATTTATTCACAATGTGTTCCAGTTTAGCAAATAGTATAAGGAGGAGATAAAATATAAAACAGAAGGTTCCTTAAAAGGTATTTATCATAGCCTCTATGGCAAGCATACGAACTAGATCTCACTAATGTCAGCATGAAGCACCATTTCAGAGTACTTAATCCCAAGCTAAGCCTATTAACACTCAAGTATAGGTGCAGATAAATAGGATAGAATTAAAAAATAACTTGCAATGTCAACTTACATGAATTATGAGAACTGGACAATTAACATGTGGAATTTTGTCGATGTTCTGTTCAATAACATAAAGTAGTGTTAGACAATATTAAGGAATTCACGTTCCACTGAATCAGGAATATTTGATCAAAAATGTTCACATATGATGATTAGAAATCAATACCTTGTATATGTCAAACCAGTAAGTACGCTTTACTGGATACATGACCCTTAAACCAGAAAGTATGGGACTATGCAGAACAACAGCTCTCAATTGTGGCAATCTAACTGCAAGATCCAAAGTAGGGCCACTGCCAACAGATTGCCCGTAAAGAATTACGTCTTCGGGCTTTGTGCCATAGCTTTCTTCTAGACACTTATATGCAGCCTCAATATCTGCATAAGTATTCTGCTCACTTGGCTGCATTTCAAGAAAATTGTGGCCTTCAGCTGATGTTATTAGCCCAGCCACGACAAACACAAATGCAAGACAAAACATTTTTACAACAATAACAAGCATTTCATCTTACAGACCTTCCCCGATGACTGGCCGTACCCAGAATAATCGTAGCTGCACAAAATTGTAGAATGTGTTAGGAAGAACTGCAGCTTAAAACCTCAAACTTCATGAAGAGCAGAAGTGAGATAGATTATTCTGTTTACAATACTGCCTGTACAGATAGATATAACTTCAGAAACTTTTCTCCACAAAAGGTAGTAAATGAATTTAACCAATTTCACCAAATGATAACCAGAAACGAGTATGATGATTGGAGTAGGAACATAATTGTCGATGCACACATCAATAAAGTTACAGGAGTAAAAGTGACAGTGGTTGTGGATGCAGCGGGATCGCACGTTTAAAAGATAGAGAAAACACAACATTACGACAAAACCGATATCTTATCAATTCCTTGTCCATGAAATCAAACAATTCATCCGTGAAGAACTCACTCTCAGGATCATCTTAAAGGATCAACAAATTCCACACTTTTCAATTAAGCCTGTGATGCTAATGAATATTAAACAGGAATTACAATCGAAATTAAGTTAACCCCATTGTTAATTTACTCAGGATCGTAGCTTAAGAAAACAGAGTATCGCATAGGGATTGAAATAAAATAAGCTAAACTCAGGAAACCAGAAACCAAAAACGACATTAAAAAAATATGGGAGAAAGAAACCATCAAAAGCCGAAAACTGGAGGTATAAAGTTACTCGGAATAGACAAAAGCGAAGGAGTACCCCATGAGATTGACGCGTAAGTGGATGCTGAGCTGAATGAAGAGGTCGTACATCTGGCCTAGATCGGCAGCATTACCGTGAGAATAGAGGAGAGTAGAGGTGGCCATGGGATGCCGGATGTACAATGCCACTATCTCGGTGCCACGACGCGTGGGCAGCTTGAGAATTTCGACGTTCTCGCGGTGAGGAAAAGGGCTGAGAAGCAGAAGCCCAGTAACTTCGTCAGTCACCAATTTATAGGACGGTGGATTCGGCGGGAAGAAGGCGAACTTCGCCGCCATAGACGATGTTACGCCACCCATCACACTCCCTCTCTCTTCTCTCTTCTGTCTGAATTCTCTCACCGGAATAACTAATACAGAACTTCACTGCTTCAGCATAACACACTCTCCCTCTCTCTCTCTCTCACTATCTTTTCTTATTTATCTTCTAAGAAGAAGCCTTTTGCAACAGAAAACTGAGGAAAGAGAAAGCTTCTTTTAGAGGGAATGGAGTGTGCAGAACTTAAAATTGTATTAATCTAATCTAATTTCCTAATAAAATGCAAAAGTAATAAAGATAAGTGGGAAAATCCTAAACAAATGATTGTTGTGGGGGAGAAAAAGGTATGAATCTCCTTCTCTGCAGCTTCTTTGTTGATGAGATCAAGAGGGGGTGCTTGAAATGTACGTAATAGGGATGACTTTAGAGCATGACGGTGAAAGAGAGCTTATTTGAGAGAGACTTTTACATTTACATCATCGAGCAGCAGCGTGTAAGCACCAGTGCGTCTCACAATGATGCTTCCCCTTCTGTTTGCGTAACACCCACCCAACCCCCTTCCTCCTCCTCCTCCTTTTCTTTTATACCATTCTTCATCATTGTGTTTCTTCTAATCTCCTGTATTTACCATTTATCATCACCTTTTCCCCCATCTTAAAATATTCACTTCTATTGGACAAATTCTCTCTTGCATATTTAACTGTTTAGCACTGAAGTGCTTTTTTTCCTTTCACTGTTCCGTGTTGATTTTCTCTAATATTACTTCTTAATATAAAATTCCGTTTAATTTTTATGTTGGTCTTAAAATATAAGACCCCGATTCATTTTGTCTTTCATATTTGGTCAATTTTTTTTAAGATAATCCTTCTAATAATTATAGTTTTAACTAACATACTTAATGAGTAAGGATATTTTAGGAAAGACGATACATATTTATTACAAATAACTAATTTAACTTTTTTTTAATTTTTTTAAATTAGTTAACTGACTCTTATAATTATAATTAGGAGTGGAAGTAGTAACATCCAAATTATTCTTCTTTTTTTTCAAACGTTCCACCACTAACTGAGCTCCACGTGCAAGGAACCTGTTTTTGATTATCCAGTTGGGAGGTTGGGGGCTCAGTTCTCACCGGTTTTACTTTAATTGTCAGGGTACAAGTTCGTCTTACACTCTTAAATTCCTCCCCGTTTTTTTTTTTGGTCAAAAAACTCCTCCAAGTTAATGCCCCCTTTCAAATTGTAGTACTGGCTAACTATCAAAATTAAAACTCATAACAGCATTAAATATATGTACATATATATAGATATAAATCGACTAATCTATTTTATGCCAGTCCAGAACTCCAAAGTCCAAATGACCAAAATCTAAATGCGGAGCCACTGGCATGTGAGAAGCTTACCATTCATTAACTTATGAATATGGCTCCAATAATTAATTATTTATCTGTCAACGCTTAAATTGTACCATCAAACTTGAAGACTAACCAACCACATATCCGTCCCATTACTTTCTCATGGGTTTTCAATACCACAGGACAAGGGAAAAAGATAAATGCGCTTGGCTAATCATACCTCATCATCAAATCAAACTTTTTAACATTTTATAATGTGGACTAGTTTGAGTCTCACCTATTCTGACTGAAAAATAAATCACAGAGATACGAATATCATGATTTGTTGGAGTTTTTATAGTACATATAAATATATAGGCATTAAACAGCGCCCCGTTGCAGATGAGAGAAAGGTCACCATTACAGAAAGAAAGGGGAAAAGAGGAAACTTGACAGCTAAACGGGAGAATTGGGGAGAACATATTGATACGTCCTTTTCTTCAGGCGGCAAACAAAAGGATGTCGTGAGGTAGTTGTATGCTTCTCTCCTTTAAAGAAGGCATAATCTCCATCCTTAATCTCGGAAAGGAAACCTTCATATTTTCAACTACGTGACCCGTGGCCCTCAGGATAAATGCCTGAAGCATATAAATTTTGAATTTCTATCCTCTTTATTTCTTCCTTGCAACTTCACATTTTAAGAGCATGTGAGTAGCTGTTTTTGATATTATAAACACACACTCCATTCTACCCTTCAACATATAGGTTGGTACTACTTTTAATTCCAGAAATTTGAAACCAATAATTTTAGTTCCCGATTAAAACTAAAATAAAATTAAATTTCCAAAACCAAAACTAAAATTTCAGGGATTAAAAATAGTGTTAACCTTATATATATATAAATATATATAACTCAATTCCAGAGGATCCATAGAAATAAATATAATCATACTTGTAACACCCACCAGTGACGATCTATGCGGTAAACCAAAACTTGCCGTGAAAAAAAAAAAAAAGAAGGCAAAACCCAATGCGTCATCCCGGGAATCCCCAGGAATCCTGGAGAAAAAGCTTACGATACCCTAAAAGCATACATAGGATCACGGTAACTGGTCAACATTTTTCACATCTGTCTCTGAACACACACATGCAATCTCTTGCCCCCCCGGGGGGGCCTCTTTTTCTCCAAGAATGAAAAAAGAACAGTATAAATGTAAATATGGTGACTCATCTTCGGTCACAATCTGTAGACCCAAAATTTCTGAAATCAGGGCCACAAGACAAGCACTGATCTTATTTGTAGAAAATGACCACATAACAACTAGTTTTAGCCAGGGAATAACGAAGATTAAAGACAACGACAGAATTGAGGGATGTCGGTTTCTTTGAGGGTCCTGTATATTAACTACGTAGCAAATGAAAAAGAAAGGGTGGGGTTACACTGACCTTATACCTATCCCTTCTAATTGTTGTGATGGATGATGAGATATGTCTCTTATCTGCAGAATTTCTTGTTCAATAATGCCTGGTATCACTTACTTTTACAGTTTGACTGGGCTTCTATCACAAGAAAGTCTCGGTTTCAATGTTCAAACTTAATAGAGAGCTATTAAACCACAAGGCTTACAGAAAGAGATGTCACTTTCAACCCTGCAGTGAGTCGTCTTCAGATTAACCTTTGTTAAAGCATATCAAGTGACTAGCAGCAAGCTGAAAAGAAGGCAGTTTAATTGTGGCACATACGGTGGCCATGTCCTTTTTCCTAGAAAAATATATACATGTGTTCCAAATTGACAGTGTCAACAAGAAAGCTGGTCACCACATCAAGAAATAAGTGCCCCGTTATCTAAAATGTGATCCTGCACAAATATGACTAAGACTGATGATCTCACTCTGTTAAAAGCACGATCCAAGAATACCAATGTTCCGTAACAAATACTCGGATTTAGACATTACTGAAATCGTGATTTGGCACTTGACAGATAAGAAGAGAGTGAAGTGGTTAAGTGTATTTGTTCAGCCTTATGTACCTTTTATGCTATTCTGAAAGTAAATATTAACTGCAAGGAAAATTCTTAGAAATGAAGTTACAAAGAAATCTGAAGACAAATAAGTCTCCCCCAATTCAGTTTAGAACAAGAGGACAATGCTAAGAGATAATCTTTTAAGACTTCCTCTTGGTAAAACCTATCCTAAAATAATCAATAGGCTCCTCAGCAGAAATGTAGACACAAGCATTTACCCCAAATAACAGTATCTTAGGTTCCATTTGGTTGGGAGGAAAGTTTAACCAAAAGCAAATTAGCTTCATGTTATGTTGTTCTATTAATGATTATTGGAATTTAACTTAATGTTCTGTAACAGTTTTGGCCATAATAAGTTGGCATCAATACTTGAATAACACAGCCACCCACCATTGACAAATGATTCCTCTTAGGGAAGGGGATTTGAACACTGAGCTGAAGATGTCGAAGGAGTGTTGGACTCCAAAAGACAGCATTAACAGGAGTTGCCGAGGATCATGGAAGACAGTTGCCAACTATCAACTAGAGCCACTAACTGGTTGGTTGTCAGATCTGATAATAGATGATTTTGGACTCTTGTTTTTATCACAACAATTACGAGGCTAGAAGAGCATGGCACCATTACAAATAGTTGCATTCTACAGAACCTGAGAATGGAAATCTGTACATATTACTGTAGTAGAACTATCAATGCATCAACGTGCGCTAGGCTTGATGGTATATGTACAATGGTTTCTTTGGATTTTAAATACAGGGATATTCTTGTGTTCTCTGCATTTCTTCAAACATGGCATATGAGGACATAGAATGGGAACAGAAGCGAAGGAAAATGACCATGATAGTAGATAACAAATCAATAAATTCTCCACTCAAATATAGACAATATAGACCAACCCAACTTACTAGATAATTATCACTCTAAATTATGATAAACTCAAATAATCCTAACTAGTTAAAACCCTCAGAGCCCAAATATTAACTAATCACAATTCATATTCCCAATATTCTCATCCATTCACCATCAATGGCTCTCATAACAGACCTTAGTCTATTTGGTTTCAAATACTTCAGCAGATTGTGAAACCAGAGTACCAAGCTTTCACAGGATTAAGGGTGCAAATAGTTTTTTCCCTCCAAAAAAGGGTACAAATAATTAAGATATTCAAATAAATGAATCATTTGAATTTAAATATCAAAGATCTGTTTCCCTTGGCATTATACCATTTAATTTTAGTTGTGACACGCATGGACCATTAGGCACAAAGCTGATACTATTTGCACTTGCTCTTGCTGATCAAAATCATATCACTACCATTCATAGATCAATATACATGCATAATAAAGTGTATAACAAATTGCATTATTGGTAAAGCCATAAATAATACATCTCATTCCTCAAACCTGTGTAAGAAACGGGAAAACATGTCCAATTCGTCTTGGATCATTCTAATTTTTCAAATTTTCCCAATTGCGAACCATAGGCAGCCCAGATGGCAGCCTATTCTAATGAACAGAATAAACACATTATCTTGTGCTCAAAACTCTATTCCACGCTTAAGTTTGTCTCCAAGTTAGTGTCCACAAGCACTCGTCAGGGTCCCTAAGCAATCTCGCTATAACTGTTCATGTGATCTTCAATTGCTTCTGATGTTAAACCATATTAACCTATAGTTGAAAGTACAGTCCCAGGTCGATTGCACTATAATTTGAAAATAGGAAATTAACATGTGCCTGAGGCATTTTTCACGGAGAACAAGAAACCGAGCTATGATTGCTGTCAGAATTTTTGATTCTCCGTCAATTTTATGAGCTGCAATGAATATCTAAGGTTTACTGCGAGGGAAAAGAGAATGCAAGAGTAGAGCATCACACCCATAAAAAAGTATAGAAACAAGAGGACTGCCAGAGAAAAAGCTCACTAGATTGAAGCAGTTGCTAAACTACTACCAAAATATCACTGCTTCACATTATTCGAATAGTCTGTCGGATTTTGCCCGTTAAAATTCTTAGAAAAAACAGAACTGGATCAGATTACTAAATTGCCGAAAACAGCTCAAGGCAAAACAGGAGGAGAAACAAAGAAAAGAAATAAGTCGTTGTCGTTCGTCTTAGAGAACTTACTGATTATAACTGACAGGACTAGAACATCAAAACTTATATAAGTGTCAAGCAATTCGCAAAATAAAAAGCTCGGCATACGGTCCTAAAAGCTCCATCACCAAGTCCCCATTCCCTTCAGTGGATGTCCATTGCCCCCAAATCAACTCTAGCTCACCTAAGGCAGCTCCTAATTCTGTCGGCGCATCCGCTTTCTTAGTTTCTGGTATTTGTGCTTGTTCATCTTCTTTTTCCTCTTCTTCTTCACACTGTCTGCCCACATTGTCCGCGAATCATCCATCTCCGCATTCACGCTCTCAGGCGAACAACACCCATTTGAAGACACGGAATTTATAGGAAACCCAAATGGAAAGCTTGGAAAAATTATGGTGGACAAGTCGGGGTGTTCTTTTCCTGGACTTGGCCTCCGGGCTGGGGAAATTCTGGATTGATCCCAACCAAAGGGAAGGACGAGAAGCAAGTGGCTCCAAGAGAGTTGGCGCGTAAGAATTATGAAACTGAAATGCAGAGACGAGTCTTGCGACCGATGATCTAGTGAGTAGCTTTGGGAGCGCCGAAGCCATTGAGTTGAATCGGAATCGCGGACCTAGGGTGTCGGTTTCCCCAACGGCGGAGAATGACCAATTTCGAATTGCCGAATCGCTGAATTGGGCCCAATGGGGCGAGTGGGAACGCCTTGTGTTTGTTTGTTTGCGTAGCACTCTCCTACCCCGGGACAGCGGGACTAGTGGCGATGGAGTGGGGCGCGGGATTTTGAGAGTGTGAGCACAAATATTCTTCATGCTTGAACAGTTATACTAGTGGTATTTCACATACTTTTTGGCTGTGCATACTAAACAAATATTGAGATTAAACGGTGACAAATGTTATACTTTTTTCCCTTAATGTAGTACTCGTTTATAAGACATATTTTATATATGTTGAACAATTTTTTTAAATTAACCCCGTTAATATTCTCCAATAATAATTAAGTAAGGAGGGAATTAAGAAATATGTTTGGAATATTTTAAAAACATATTATATTAACTAATATAATTAACATCCTTAATATATTCAAATCAGTTAGTTAAATCTTAAATACCACCTCTACTCCTAAATATAAGAATTAATTTATAGTGCAACCACTGACAAAAAAAACAAATATTGTTTTCAGTCTTTAATATAAGAAAAACACCCCTGTTAATCAAATGTATTGATTAGAACTATCATTGTTACAACAATTATCTTAAAAAAAAATATGATAGGCAAAATAGATTGAGATTTTATGTCTATGATCAAAATAAAAACCAAATAAAATCTTTTATTAAAGAGCCACGATGGATCTGGCAAAAAAAGAAATCAAGAAATAAAGAATTAGTCCTGTAAAATATGACAATATTGGGAAAGAGAAGGAATGCCCCCATGCAGGATCGAACTACAGACCTTCAGTTTACAAGACTGACGCTCTACCACTGAGCTATAGGGGCTGTTGGCGGGGCGTCAAAAACATAATTATAAATTCAAAAATGATTGCCACGCGTTCACATTCAGCGTAATTAAGCTGTGTGGTTGAAGGTATGAGGAAGACTTGAATCAAATAGTTGCGTGGGAATGTTCTTGGAAAACAAGCAACCTTTTAAGAAGGTGTTTTTTTTAATCATTTTATTAAAATAATTTTATTTAGTCAGATACTAAACATGAGTTTACACGTTTCTTGGTCTTTTCTTTTTAATCTTAGGCTTGTCTTTGTAACTAAAAAAAAAAGGTCCCACAGGTGAGATCCCCCTTCATTTAACCATTAGATTCTGCCATTATCCTTTTCTTATATTACGTTATTTTTCATCCTTTCACCCTTTATTTCATTATTCATATTTCTTTCTTTTATTTGCTCGCCCATTAAAGAATGATATGCTTAGAAAAATAAGATTCAGCTTTACATATTTATTACTTTTAACTGATTTTAACTATTTCCTCAAATCTCACATAATTTAATTAAAATAACTTTATAAGAATGGCAGGAGGAATAAAGGCTTTTGGCAACTTGTTAGCTTTTCTCTCTTTCCCAAATTCAAATTTCCTCTCGTTATTATATTCGTGCACATGAATGAGTAGGTTACTTGACGGGAAGGGTTTTCAGATTTAAGTAACTAATTAACATTCATGTAACTTACTGGTAGTTGAATTATTATCCTTGTTTGTTAAGCAAAAGTTATTATACACATAGTTGTCCTTTTTTTAATTCTTTTGAATGAAAATATATTTTATTCAACCAAATATTTACAAGAGAGTCATCCAAAAAATGAAAGAGGCGGTACAGCAAGTAGGAAATTAATTGCGAGTAAGATTAGTACAGAAGCTGTGAGCTTTCATAGTGTGTTCACAACAGGCGATAACTTCGTTAACTAGCCGGTAAGGGTCCGTGGTTTCCTGTCTGAAGATTTTGCGATTCCGTGCATCCCAGAGGCGCTAGCATAAGAGACCAAAGGTTGTGCACCAAGTTGGATTGTTTTTGAGTGCTCAAATTCACTACCGGCCTATCTGTAAAATTACTCGAATCAAAGGCGTAAAGGTCTTGGTCCGGCATGAGTGGTTTCCAGCAGCCCATGGCTAGGTTGTACCTGCGTAACATGTGATCCAGGTCCTCTCTTGCCTTTCCACAAATGTCGCACGTATCATGCTCAGTCATGTGACGGCTTCTCCTTTCACTGTTCGTAAGGAGTTTGTTGATCATTGTAGCCATAAGAATGTACATGTTTTTACTCTCTGACCTCCAAGCCATTGCCAAACCAGCTTCCATTTCGTATCCTCATTGTCTCCTTCATGAGATCAGATCATTTTATAAGTTGAACTAATTATAAAGTCACCTTTTGCAGTGAACCTCCAAGTACTTTTTGTTGGGTGATCTTCTTCAGATATTTGAGGCGTGGGGCTCGCTGCCATCTGATCTGTCAAAGGTTCGGGTATTAGTTTGCGGATTGCATCAAAGTCTTCGCTTAAACTTGCCAATGCACAATAAAAACTTCTTGTCCGTATTGTCATTCGCTAAGCAAAACTTGTCACTCACATAAATATTTTTATCATTTATACGTAGATTCCTCCCCAATCCTATCAGTGCTGTCAATATACAACATAAATAGCTTATTATTAATTAATTTATTACACTTATTTTTTAATTAAATGTTAAACATGTTAATACACATGAGAAAATAACTTACCCCCCTGTTAAGCTGTTTTTGTTACTTCTTAAGCAAAAATTTGCTGTTTGCTTGGCTGCTATAGTTATTTCGTATATTACTAAGATACTCCTTTCGTCCTACTTATAAGGCGGAGAAAGAATGATTTTTTTATCCTATTTATAAGTTACTTCAATAAATTTTAAATGTAAATGTACTATTTTGTCCTTCATTTGTTATAATGTAAGTAATTATCTTTTTTGAAATGTGTATATATTAAATATAAGTAAAGTTAGAAACTTGTTATGTTTTAATTGAGAGTTAATTCATTTTAAGGTTTTCTTTAGTCTGTGTAAAATATGCTGGAAGTGCCTTATAAATAGGACCAGAGGAGTAATAGTTTTCTTATATTATCTCCAGTCCTTAGTACTACCTCTGGTCCTTAATATAAGGCCCTGTTTAACTTTTATTTTGGTTCTAAATATAAAACTTCAATCCATTCTGTCTTTCATATTTATATATATATATTTTCCAAAATAGCCCTTCTAACAATGATAGTTCTAGTCAATACACTTGATTAGTAAGGGTATTTTAGAAAAGATAACACCTATTTAGGGCAAATAACTAACTCAACTTACTTCCTTAATCTCCTCAAATTAGTCAACTGGCTCTTATAATTAGGACCAGAAGTAGTATTAGACTTCGTTTAACTTTTATTTTAGTTCTAAATATAAGACCTCAATCCACTTTGCCTATCATATTTATGTATTTTTTTTCCTAAAGAAGTCCTTCTAATAATGATAGTTCTAGCCAATACATTTGATCAGCAATAATATTTTAGGAGAAACAACACATATTCATTACAAATAACTAACTTAACTTATTTCCTTAATTTCCTCAAATTAGTCAACTAGCTCTTATAATTAGGATAAGAGGCAATAGCTTATTTTATACTACCTCCGATCTTTTATGTAATAGCTCATTTAACTTTTATTTTAGTTCTAAATATAAGATCTCAATCTCCTTTATCTCTCATATTTATTCTTTTTTTCAAGGTAATTCTTGTAATAATAACAGTTGTAATCAATACATTTAATTAGCAAGGATATTTTAGGAAAGATAATATCTGTTTATTACAAATTACTAACTTAACTAATTTTCTTAATTTACTTAAATTAGTCAACTAACTCTTATATTAAGGACCGGAGGAAATATCTTGTAACTAATTTTGTCTTATATTACTGGGAAGTTTTAATGGCTCAATAGTTAGACATTTTGTTGGGAAGCAAAAGACACTGTTATCAAACTTAATCTTGACTAACCTCAACGAAAAAAATTCTCTAATCACATGAATTTTGGGTCTTTTTTCCATCTATTTTTATGCCTTTGACAAAGCCAAAACAAAATTCTAATATCTAGTCTACTGGTAATAACTTGAATGCTCCGATGTAAAAAAAAAAAGCCGCGCATTCATAAGCCATGGATTACAAGGATTATTAAAATTAATAAATATAAAAAATAAATATTATATTTAGGATCAAAACTAATTCAATAATTAGGTCCTATATTAAAGATCGGAGGAGTAATATTTTTCTAGATAAATGATTGCAAATTTGCAACAACATTTTATTTTGATAAAATAAAAAAAATCTCTAAAATTTTAAAATCCTAAATAAAAAATGACTAAAAAATATGTTGAAATTGTAGACCCTTTAGACAAACGCTATGACGCGCGCGTGATTTTTGCCACGAGCGCGGGGTCCTTTCTTCCCTCTGGAGTCGGTGCTCAAACTGGAGCGCGAGGACGAGGACTTCTCCACCCGATCTCTCACTCTCTCATCAATTGACGCGGCATTTTACGAAGAGTGATCGCTTATTGACTCCCGCCCTTGTCACTTACTGACGCGTAAGTACTCTCTTCCATCTACCGTATATCTGTGCTTCGAGAATGAGCCATGGTTTAGGGGTTTTCGGAGGGAATAAATTGAACAACGTGACCCCGTGGTTCTTCTTTATCATTATTATGGATTAATCTTGCTCGGATTATCTATCACGAAGGTTTGGTTCAGTAACTCGTGAGAGGCGTATTCTTTTTTTTTTTTTTTTTCCCCATAATTAATTTCTGGTCCAAAGAGAAGCACAATTTCAAGTCCAGTGGCTGCCGTTGCTCGCGGCTACCATGGGTACTGGCTGATGGCCAGCCTAAGGCCTGGTGAATGGAAGGCTTGGGAATTCTTCCCTGTATCGAATATTGAGTCTGTTGACTGGGATAGAAGAACCCCGCTTCTTTAAGGAACATAAGTACTTGCTTGATGCTGTTTATGTCTGTATAGTGTATAGATGACGTTTGTAGCCTAAGCGGTGTTGTTTTCTAGAAAGGAAAAGGGAAAGTGTATTGCCTTATGAAACTTTAATTAATATATTAACATAATCAATCTGCCCCATGCTCTAAGGTAGTGGCAAGTGCAACACACTATGTTGCCATGAGCGCTTGTAGCAACAGTGTGTCAAGCATGGTGCTGGATAGATAACCGCGCCAGTGAAGCTAGCATAAGTTTGCACATGCTCATGCTCATACATGTAAGGTGTTGGCTGAGCATATACAGACTAGAGGATATTGATGCTACCAAGTAGAAGCATTTCAATAGCCATTAACATACGCTTTTCTTCTCTGTCTAAATTATTATGCGTTTTAAATATTTTAATTGTCTAAGTTCACAGGCCAATTCTTATGTATGGTTCTGTTGAGTTCCCGTAACAAATCTTATTACCTGCGCTTTAATGTAGTTGTCACGTGCTGTACTTCACCCTTTGTATGTCATGTCGAATCCCTCAAGGAGTTTTGGTGCATCTGATGAACATCAAAGAGAAGGACCTGATTATTTTGGTTACTATTCTCATGAAGTAGTAAATTTGTTGTCAGAAGATGAGAATAATATGCAATCTGCTAGCCAAACATCCGAGCTTCCTCGAAATTCATCAGGACAGGACAGTGGGAAGAGTGCAGAGGAACACAGAGATTCTTCTGGTTCATTAAACAGCGACAATTCAGACTTCAAAAAGGAAAGATTAAGATCACTACTCAGGCAAAGTGTCACTGATCTTTCATCTGAAGTCAACGAGGTATGTCATGCATCCTGACCTAGTTCTGGTTGTAACTAAAGTTAGCAGCCATCTTGTAACTAAAAAATTAGGAAGATTGAGGGTTTGACTTTTGTACATTTCAACAATTTTAATGATATAATTTGCCTCGTCTTTTCCTTTTCTCCACTCTATAACGTGTGTTGGGGGAGCTATTTTGTACAAGTTTATGCTTGCAAGTCACATGATCTTGATGAGAATTAGCTATAGGTATTTGTAAAGAAATGGGTATATTTTCTCTAGAATCATTTCTTTTGGCAGAAGTTGTCCATAACAGGAACAAGCACAGACTTGTTTGGAGTAAGTGGAATGGATTGGCTGGACTTAATGTCATGCGTGGAATGTAACACTGATTACATGCAGATGAAATGCTGTCTGAGGTTCAGGACAGTTCTAGTATTAATGCTTTGGGGAATTGATGATGTGCAATATTTGTTACTTTAGTTTTAATTTTGTCATATTTCTTATTCAGTTACTGGTTTTTTATCCTCAGAAGGAGAAACTTCCTGTATAAAGCGCTTCTTAGAACTTCATTCATTCAGATTCAGAAACCTTACTAACAAATTTTGTCGTATTGACCATTATTTGATTATTTTAGCATATTTCTTAATTGTTTCTTCACCTTCTCTTTCTCATCCTCTCTCTCACTCTAGCCTTCCAAGGTGGTAGAGTGTTTGCTTTTTATTTTCCATTTTCTATTTCAGTTCCAGACTTGGGTTTCATCAGAACTTTATTTGTTTGTCTGGATAAGACATGTTAGTGACTGTCTAATTGAAATGACAGATGCTGGATCCAGTTTTAGCTATGCGAAGGTTGCAATCCAGGCTAAAAGGTGAGAAGCATTCCTCTAGTCATGCTGTTGCTGTACCTGATGATGATGCAGCCCAGGTCCCTTCCGAAAAACGGAAGGTATCAATATCATCCCTTGAATTATGCTTTCATATCATACTTTTCTAGTGCTTGTCTCGTGTTTGATATTAATTATGAACAGGGTGATGACAATCAGTTAGCTCCAAACACGAATCTGGAAGAGAAGAACGAAGAGGTGAGACTAGAAATCAATTTCTGCTGTGACTTTGCTGTAAAGGGCATGTGGCTGTGATATGAAAGCAGAAAAGTGAAAGGGGAAGAATATTTCATAAATGAAGGGTTGTAGCGTTCTGCTATTGTAAAGTTTCAGTATCTTAATGAAAAGTACATTTTAACCAAAGAATGTGGCTAACAAGATAGATCTAACGGGGCCCCTACAAAAAAAATAAAATAAAATAAAATCATTAAACTACAGAGAGTCGATTGCATTAGTTGTGCGCATATATACATGCCAAGGTGATTTCCCTTAACAATCCATTAGCATAGCTTGAAGCAAAGCTAAAGCTGATCTCCTCCTTAAGTAGATTGTCGGAATGAACTTCTCTAAATTCTGAGCCTTGGTGTGAAAACAATTATGTATATCAGTGGAGAATCTACCACCATATCATAGGCATATGGCAGAAAGCACTGGTGGATTGAAGCCAACGTTCTGGATCCCTGAGTGATGCGAGTGATAATGTAGAATGTGCAGAAATATGTGCTTCTAAAAACTGTCAACAAGCTGACTTGTATGCTTTATCTTATTCTATTTAGGTGAATGATGATCTTCGTTTCCTATTGGAGAGTGATCGAGTGGAGGTTGAGGAAATAGTGAAGAAACATGCTGACCAACTATCAGGAAGGGTAATTATGTGAATTTCTTCTCTGTTTAAGGGCATGATCATCATCTTCAATGCCCTTTTATGTTTTATGGCAGTCATACAAGGAGGAAGTGATATCAAACCTTCAATTCGTATAATCATGTATTTCTGTTTATACTGGTATCTAACGTTGTCCTTCAGCTAGGGTATATGGAACGGCAATTGGAGCTGCTTCTTAATGCTGTAACATCAACATGCAGGTATGTTGTGAATTTTTCAATAATAAAAAAAAGGCATGGTTTGAGCTCGTTATGCTTTTAAGTGGTTTAAGGAAGAAAGCAACTTCATTAGTTTTTGTTAAAACGTATAAAAATAGTATCCTGGCTGCATATTTCAGGCAGTTGTTTCAATTTTTTGTTGCTTGTTATTTGGCATAATGTTTGAAAAGGACAATTGATGCTAACTACGTCATGGATTTCCTTTCTCAGTTGAATTGTTCAAATATTGTCCCTGCTTTGTGATCATTTGATGTCGTGATTTCTTCCACTTAATTTACAGGCCTATGACTCTCGATGAGAAACAGCAGCTTCAGAAACTAATTCAGAAGCTGCCGCCTAGAAATCTTGACCGTGTTGTGGAAATAATTAGTCAAAGCAAGCCCGTAGAAGAACAGCCTTGTGACGAACTATATGTAGATCTGGAAAAAGAGGTAGTGTGATATAATTAAGGATTTGGTGTTGAAACCTTTTAAAATTGCTTCAGTCTTATTATGCTGAATTTATGCAGGATAATATTACACTATGGAGACTGTATTACTATGTTAAAGCTGTTGAGAGAGCCAGAACACTTTCATGCCGCCAAAGGCTTGATTAGTTAAATGATGGAAAAACTTGGACTGTAGCTCGAGTCAATCTGTCTATGAGTAGATGGTCAGTCTAGGAGTTTTTTTTTTTTTTTGGGTTCTTTTAATTCGGTAGCAATGAGAAGAAATTTTCTGGTGACAAATGATGATGGTCCACTAAGTGGCTTAGCTTTAGAAAAGCTTGTACGCAGTTTTTGTAAGTATACTTCGTAACTTTTGATGGATGTACCTATAAGCTACAGCGTGCTAACCCTTAGTTTGTAACTTCTAGGGTGAATATGAAGCAAATCTTCTCAGGTGTCACCATTAATAATTTTTTATACTTCTCTCTATTCTCTTTATTATTTTAGAAACATGTTATAAACTTAACCCTTCCAGGCAATCTAAACTCAATCTTCTATTGTTACCCTGTCTTGTGTGATGGTACTTCATTACAAATTTCATTAATTAGCTTTAAAATGATATATATGCTGATTACAAAACGCTTTGTTCTATTTTTGCGATCGATTTCCTGGATTTACCCTTCAAAGCAGAGCACTCACGCCTGACAATGTATTTAATCCCGCTTTCTACTATTCCTATCTCCAATCTGCCCAGAAAAACAGGGGTAAGTGCACATCAACTTAAAACAGTGACAAATAACAGCAGACAACATATGTATCCGCAGATAATAGCAATCCAACAGGTGCAGAGGGCTTCGTATTGATTCAGTCATATACGGGTTTGAAGTTTCTGTAAGCAATGACTGCATAAAAGGGGTCTGATCCTGACATTAGTCCAAAAAGCCTCATGATCCAACCCACAGGGGAATCGCTGTCCTTAGCGTCATCCTTAGAAGGCAACCTGCGAACAACCTCAGGCTCTGTGTAGCCTTCCACGCATTGGAAGTACTGTACCACAAGCTGTACCCTACTGTACGCAGTGCCATCCCTCCAAGCGCTTATGGCTTTCTCATAGAACAATCTGTTGCTAAAACTCACCATGAACAATCCTCCTGGCTTTAGTATTCGAAAAACCTCCGCGAAAACCTGCTTTGGTGTCGCGTCAGTGAATTCTGAATCATTAATGCCTAATAAGAAATGCAAGGTCATATAACTGCTAACCTGCTCTGGTTGTTGCAGATACTGAACACTAACGGCGCACAACACTGCATCGAAACTACAGCTCTCGAATTCAAACTTGTGCTCTTCATTGAGATCCTTCACAACAAAGAAGTCCAGCCTGGGATTCTTGGCCAGTTCTTGAGCATTCAAGCCGTGACCCACTACTCTCTTGTAATTGACGTCATTGGGAAGATGGCTAACCCAAGAACTCATGAGGTCAAGAATTTGCATCTCAGGCCTCAACCTCTGCCTGTAAACATTGGTGAGTGTAGAAATGAAGCCATCGTCGACGTGCTTCACCAAGCGTGGGTATGCGTAGAAGTCTCTGTCTGAGGAGTTGTTAAGTTTGGTTCTGCCTTCTGGGCTCAGAACGAGGCGCTTGATTTTGCCTGCTGAGGATTGTTGAGGATCGAGACGGGAGCTTTCGTTCGAAGTGCTTGCTATTGTGAGTGAAGTTGCTTTGGTTTTGAATAGAGATGAAGAGATGGGCTGGAGACTGGCATGAAACTTTGCATAGCTGTTCGGAGCCATGGTTGCCGGTTCGGTTAAGGAAGATGGACATGGAGCTTCAGATGATGAGAAATAGAGAGCTTTCCATAATTTTACTTCTATTCGACACAGACTAATATTATGGATTCTGATAGATAATCCCCTAGTGGCTGTGATGAGAGAACCACAGCTAGCACTTTCCTATCTTTCGGACTCTCGCTCCACAATAGGAGCGTTCATTTAATGGGGTTTTGGCTTTTTCAGCGTTTTTTCTGACTTCTAACATCTCTCACTTATTTTCTCAAAAAAAAAAAACCTTAGCTTTTAGATGCATTAAATATATACAAGTGATCATATTAAGCATTATTATAGAATATGTAAAATGTAATTACAAATGTTAAACATAAAAATATTAGTAAAAAAAGTTTAATTGTAATTTGATCTACCAATTCTTGGCAAACCAAAATTTCCGATCCGTCAAAACTAGAAGCAGCACTGACTGCTTACGGCTAAAATCATCCTTCGGCCTTTCGTTATTTAATCTCAGTTAATGATTGGGATTAAGCCAGCGGAATAGGAAGGCAACCAAACGAGCCCTTAGCGGCGCTCATTGGCGGGCCTCTCTCCCTGCGTTTGAGGCTCAACCGACGGACTAGGCCCCATTTACTCTTTCTTCCACTGCCGATCACCATTTCTCCATTGTCGACCGCCGGCAGCCTTGGCAGCGATACCGGCTCCTTTCGTCCCTGCCTCATCTTGATGTCACTCAGCTCCATTTGCAACGGGTACTTCAGCACTCCGAACAAACCGTTATGATGCTTCCAGCTCCCGCTGCTCCGGCGCCGGTGTTCACCCTCGGACCATGGCTGGAGGTAAGAAATCGACCCACTATGGCGACCGGAATTTAATTTCCCGATGGACTCGGACCTCACTAGGAAGGGGTTCTTCCGTACTGTATCTGATGGATTTGGGTCTTTGTGACGACCTAAGATTTTGCCGCAGAATACGATGTCATTTTGGAGGGCGGCATTCGTACCGGAGTCTGAGATCGTCGTAGGGAATTCGAAGTCAATGTGGTTGGTGTTCATCTGAGAAGCGGGTTGGAGAAGAGGATGCGATTCAGTGGATTCATGTAAGACTGGTTTGTGCTTCATTACTATCTAAACTATCGAATCTTTATGAGATGAAAAGAAACAAGAGAGTTAGAACTCAGGGGCTGAGTATTTCTGTTGTGAATTATGGGCATCATTAATGGTTTGGTTATATACAGAGAGGTGCGATGTGGTTGGAAGCTTGACTTGGAAGAGGGAGAAGTTGAAAAGAGAGCGTGAAGGAGACTGCAGAGTAAAAGACAGAAGACATGGATTAAAAAATCGACTGGGTCAAGAAAAAGGTATGTTTGTGTTTGGTTCATGGGATGTTTCTTGGAACACTAACGTAGGAATTCTAGAAGCCATGAACGGCTGTTTTACGCTCTGTGATTGCTTTCCTCTATTCAAATCAAAGAATCAAGTCTTCCACGCAATGAAAATAAATTTTGAACGTTGAAATACTAAGCTTTGTTTATTGTCAACTACTTTGAAAGTGGGGAGCATTCTATCCTCAACGTCAACTTTTAAGTCCCTTGGTTTGGTCTGAACTTTGAACGAAAGAGCTCTGTATTTTGACTGTGTCTTGTTAGTGACATGAAATTTCAGGACTTTGCTCTTCATGGGCCCTGTAGATGAATCAAGCTGTGTTGGATGGATTAAAAAGTAAACAAGCGATGAAATTTATTCTCAAATTGTTTGATTTTCGTCAAACGCGGAGTATATTTGAGCTAGATCAATTGCATGTTTTTCTGCGTTTGTTGCTGAAGAAGACAATGGACGCCATGATAGAGATAATAAGGTGGTAGTTTCCAACGGATTTGTTACGGTTTATTACAATTTTTTTTTTGGGGGGGGGGGGGGGATGCACTGATCAGTTATAGAAATGGGTAGAGATTAAGTTGACGCTTCAAATAATCAGACGGAATTAGCACAGGTCAAGAGTGGATGAAACTCGTATGTGCATAGTTTAATTCGTGTTTGTTAGCTTTATTTAATTTTTAATTCTTAGGAAGCACGCTGAATGGCACCGAGGTTTTATATTTAATTAGGTAGAACTGCATATTTCGGTTTTTTTTTTTTTTGGTTGATACAATGCATATTAGGGATTTTTAAATACAAAAGTTTGACGGTGATCATTTTATCTTTAATACTATTAGTTTCATTAATAAAAAAGTGGAAATTTCTTATTTTTTGGTACAAAGATTAATTGCTATTCCAATTGAATAAGCATTTATTATTCAATTATTTGAAAAGTTCAAAATTATTTTAAAATTTTTTTAGTGTTGACGAAAAAGGACTTCAAAAAATTAAAATGAGCTAGATATATATATTTTGGTAAGCAAAGCTATTCTCTTATCGTGTTCGAGGCTACCTTTTCCAGTGAGAATTTGAAACTTGGTTCACCATATTATAAGGAATAATGACCCAATCACTGTTTGTAAATGAATTAGATGATTATAATTGATTAAAAGGAAAATTATAATGAGATCTTAAGGGAAAAAAAAGTATAAAACAAATTTCAAAACTTATTATTCTCTATCCTGAAACTCGTTACTACAATTTGTTTAGATTGTTATAAAAAATTTTATTGATTTTTTTTTGAACTTATTGTAATTCTTTTTTTATTAAATCGTTAAATGAATTTTTTTGGGGAGTTCAGGTCCACAAAATTAATTTAATTTGGGTCCATAAAATCAGGCCGCTATTTTTGTTTGCAATACTTGTCCCAGAAGGGCGGAAGCTAGTTGTAAAGCCCAGCCCAAAGGCAAAACCTTAGATTTCGTAAAATCAAACCAACACGTTGAGAGCCCAGGCATGAACAAACACATCGCTTCCCTGCTTTCTTTCTTCCCACGACACCAGGCACCTTCCTTCAAGTATTGATCAAAAGGATCTTCCGCTCCATTTTTCCCATTGCTTCCCTCTTCTCGACTCCAACCTCACTCAGTTCTAAACCGGCAGGGCACAAACCGTGCCATACCCAGCTCTTTCAAGGTGCAATTTGGTTTCTGGTCGTCTTATTTTTTTTCCCTGTAATTCCTTTTGCTGTTATAGATCAATTTTCGGGAGTAACTGGGGAGCAAGAATATATTCTTAACATCACAGAAGAATTCTTGTTTTTTTGGGTAATGCGTATTTTTGCTCACAATGCAATGCTTCCGTTGAAGTTCTAGCACCGCAGTTAGGGCTTGTGGGATCTTCCGGCGGATAAGCTTGATGAGCATCCTTTATCACTTCGTTTGCAGGTCAACCTGAATTTAAGTCATGTCTAATTCTACCGTAGATCTCCCTCCCAAGGGCGGATTTAATTTTGACCTCTGCCGAAGAAATGATATGCTTGAAAAGAAGGGTCTTAAACCCCAATCTTTTCTGAAGACTGGAACTACCATTGTTGGCTTAATTTTCCAGGTATCAGTGTTTTCTTGTACTTGCGTAATTATTTTTATCTGGCCGTTTTCGCTGTTACTTATTCCTACCTTGGATATGTAGTAGATAGAGTTTTCCGTTGCTTTTACGTGTAGTCGGGTAGAGTCATGTATTACACAGTTGTGTGAATTATGTTACTGAAACCACGACTGTCCATAATACTGTGTCTCCCATTATCAGAAACATCGTTAGGTTCCAGAACCAGGTCCTGCCTTTAAGGGAGAGCACAACTTGTTTAAGCTTGGAACCTGGGACGATTTAAATCTGTGTATCTGAAAATTTAGAAATTGATTGTGTTAATATGTTAATTCTGAAGTGCAATGTGCACTTTCTATGCGGATTGAAACTTAGATTTTTCATTTTCCTTCGTTATATTGGTACTTGGTATGCCACAGGAGGAAAAAGGCGATAATTATATGTATATCACGATCAATGAATTTGAAAGTATTTGAAATTTAACATTTTTTTCATCAATTGACTATTTCATCGCTAGATAGCCCATGAAGTCAAGACTCACATGTTCTAAATGAAGTTTTATACAAATCCATTTTACAGTTTTCTCTTCCAAAATCCAACGGACTTATTTGCAAAATATGTTCTAATATTGGTTTTCCAAGTATATAGTGCAATAATATTTCATCCTTTTTCTTTTTGGGTTGAACAAAACTTCATCTTCGGTTAAATTGTCAGGACGGTGTCATTCTTGGAGCAGATACAAGGGCCACTGAAGGGCCCATAGTTGCTGATAAAAACTGTGAGAAGATTCATTATATGGCACCAAACATATATTGCTGTGGAGCAGGTACTGCTGCTGATACTGAGGCAGTAACAGGTATTCTTGGATCCTTTATGTGTTGTAGTCTAGTTCTTTTCTTAATATATCGCTGTTTTTACTTTTGATTTCATATTATCTTTGCAGCCCCATGGCCTGTGTCATATGGCTGGCGGTAATTTTCCATCATCTTTAAATTGTACAACCACCTAACATGAAAAGTGTTTCTCGCTGTAGACATGGTTAGCTCACAACTGCAACTACATCGGTACCATACTGGTCGAGAATCAAGAGTTGTTACAGCACTGACCCTTCTGAAGAAACATCTTTTCAAGTTGAGTTTCAGAAATTTCCTCTCCAAGTGAAATTACACTGTCAAACTAGCTATCAATCTGACTTTTCTTTTTAATGTTGTTCAGTTACCAAGGTTATGTCCAGGCTGCTTTAGTCCTTGGTGGGGTGGATGTTACTGGGCCTCATTTGCATACTGTGGGTTCATTGCTTAAAGCCTTTTACTTGTTGTTTTTCAACGTGTATGTTTTGATTTTTTCCCCTCACTTTTTATTTTGATGCTATGTTTTTTCAGATTTATCCACATGGATCAACTGATTCACTCCCCTTTGCAACAATGGGCTCAGGTTCACTTGCTGCTATGTCTGTATTTGAGTCTAAATACAAGGAAGGCTTGACGGTATGCATTTTGTGGTTCAGAAGCCAAGTCATGTTCAATCGTGCTCTTTGTTATGAAACTCTTAAAACCTGTTACACTTCATCTTTGATGGATCCGGCGAGTGGTATATATAATTTAACATCATTTTAAAAGGAATTGGTAAGACCAGCATGTGCCAAAAATGGGGAAAAAGTAATCGAAGATTTACATTGGTACCGTTATTATCAATTTTTGATGTGGTCATTTTGCTGAGTTCTAATTTTGTATCAACCTTTTTATTTGGTTCAGAGGGATGAAGGTGTACAGCTAGTGGTTGAGGCAATATGTGCTGGTATATTTAATGACTTGGGAAGTGGAAGCAATGTTGATGTTTGTGTGATAACGAAGGTTAGATCTCTTTTTCCAGATCCTGCAAGTTACTCTTCGAGGTGGTTTAAACTAACTTCCATTTATTTGTACACTCCTATTTGATACCGCACAGGGACATAAAGATTATCTCAGGAACCATCTACTGCCAAATCCTCGTACATATGTGAACCCAAATGGCTTTACCTTCCCTAAAAAGACCGGTTAGTGGCTCACTTTGCTCATTTATTAACAATTATACTCGAGACTTCGATTACAAATTCTACTGTACCTTTCCGGGATGTGTTTCTTGGCTAGTCAGACAATTGGGGAATGGGGCAATAGGCTAAATTGTCGTCTTACTATTCGGAAAGTGTGTGGTTTGGGTAGAAGGTTTTATGATGTTTTTGCTCCATGCCATAAGCAAGATAGATGTTATGCATTTGCATTTGTTTTTCTATCTTGGGGTTTTGAGCCGATATTGAAATTTCAAAGAGCGATTCTCATTTGCCTTCTGTGTGTGCTTTTCTGTTTGCTTTGGTTTATCCCGTTAAGGATTAAGGAATATGTTGTCTTTATGTTGTCTCTAAAACACTTTGATCTTATTCTCTGGTACAGAGGTTCTCTTAACGAAGATTACTCCCTTGAAGGAGGTGGTGGAAGTGATTGAAGGAGGAGATGCTATGGAAGAGTAGCTTTCACGTGCACAGTAACTGTGTGTATCAAGCTGAAACTCGAATAGTGGGATCTCGGTGTGGTTTTTTTTGTATACTGATAGAACCTTGAATTGTTGCTTTTATTAGCCTCAAACGGTTTTCATGAGAAGGGTTAGGTGGGGGCTAATTTTGCCTAAAATTTCATGTTCTTGTGTCACTGTTTTCCTCGTAACTTTAGCCCCAAGATCCTCGCCTGAACAAAATTCAAACAGCTTACTAGGCGGATGCCGGATCACCATTTGCTTTGGGAAACCTTTTAAGTGCGGATATGAATTCTGTTGCGTCGGTAGTATAGGTGAAAGTATCATGTGAGACGGGTATAAAAATTCCATGTCCTTGAAGTGGCGTTTCATAGTTCCCGGGCCTTATTTATTATTTTCACATGGCATAATTACTATTGTCCAATGAGCGTTTTAGCACGGGAATATTCGCATCGAATATGCTTTGATGAGACGAACTAAATAAGATTCCCCCAGTAGAGCATCCTCAGCTAATAGCACTTGTCCCTTGTCAGCTTTACCTAGTGCTCTACTTGCCCTTCAATGCTTTCTTCTTGCTCGTTCCCGCTGGTTTAGAAATGGCGCCGGTCATCACCTTTATGATTGTATTGCTGCTCGACCGTCAAGCTATATCCTCTGGGCCCGCGATGTTGGTGGTTAATGTGAAAAATCATTTTTCTAATCTGTCAAATTAGTTAACAAGTAGAAAGTCACATTATAATTCATAATTTAGAGAAAAATGTATTTAATTAGAGGCATAAAGTTCAAAATGTGGCCACAAATTTCTCCAATTTTAGGGTAAAATTAATTTTCCGAAAGAACTAGTTGTAAAATATTCTTACCGGTAAATAATTAAAATGAATACACACACACAGTAATTAAAATAATTTTATTTTTATCAGTCATTTCCAAGATTCTGACTTCTTGTAAATAAGAGCGATTAGGCTGATTAAATGTACCTCACTCACCTACCCCTATGTACTTAGCGAAGCTTGCATTCGACGTTACTCGCCCGTCGTCTCTCGGCCATTTTTGAATAGTACAAATCTCGTCGTTGTCCTCCTTACTTCACACAGAGTTCACACTCCAACTGTCTCTCTCTCTCTCTCTCACAATTTCGAACCCGCTCGCTTCACGGCTTCCTTTCCTCCTGATGTCTTACGACTACCTCTTCAAGTATATCATTATCGGCGACACAGGTCTTCTTCCTCTCCCTATTCCAATCCCTAGCTCTTTTTTTACTCTATAGGCTTCATAATTTGAATTGGTGTTTTCGGCTGTCTTATTTGGCGTGACTCAGGTGTTGGCAAATCATGCCTCCTCCTGCAGTTCACCGACAAGAGGTTCCAGCCGGTTCATGATCTCACTATTGGTGTTGAGTTCGGCGCTCGTTTGGTCACCATCGATGGCCGACCCATTAAGCTCCAGATTTGGGACACTGTAAGTCCATGCTGTTCTCCCCTCTCTGTTCTTTGGGTATCTGAATTGATGTCAAATTAAATCGAGAATAAGTGCCCAATGCCTAACATGAACCCTGGGGCTTGTTGGCTTATCGTTTCTGAACTTCACGTAGTTCCGTGTTGTTGTTTTGTTTTTTTTTTTTTTGGGGGGGGGGCTAATTTTTGCTGGTCTTGGTTGCAATATGGAAAAATAATGTCTGGCCTTTCTTTAAATGAAGAGGAGTGGGGACACTACTAGTTGAAAGCTGCATCCATAGAGTATATCATCGAGTTTGTGATCATTCGCCAAATTCCTAATCTTGGTAAAGCCACGTGTTGAGTGCCATGAGATAATTTGAACTTCAGTGGACTTTCCGAGTTTGCAATTTAGATGAACAATTTTAAGATTGCATGATTTTTCTGGTTGAACCTTCTTGAGCAGGCGTCTCATAAACTAATATCTGCCCCATACTCTGGTTTTTTTTTTTTTTTTTGGTTCGATCTTTATCTGCGGTGCTGCCTTCTTTTCCTTTTCCTTTTCCTTTTCCTTTTTTTCCCCCGGGGATACGTTTGGAAACACATGACTTTTTGCTTTTGTGTATTCTGAATATAATTAAAATCACCAAGGCATTGCTCCAGGCCTGTCGAGTTTCTCTTCTCTTATCGAGTGTATTCAACAGGTGTTACATAGTGATGCGAGGGCCTGCAGGGGGACCATACCTGAGGCTGCGTGCTATTCTTAGTTTCTTTTAGTTGTTAGCCTTTATTATTATATAAAAAAATCATCAAGGCATTACGCCTCGTGCTTTTTTTTTTTTTTTGGGGGGGGGGGGGGGAGATCCGATGAGAGCATCTTAATGTGATTGACCAGTTTTAGCTATATAGTCCCATATGACGCGAGCTTCTCTAATAATCATAACCTGAATGATACTAAAATTCAGGCGGTTCAACTGCATTTTTACGATCGCCATGCAAAATTTTATTTAGTTCTCTACTTAGTATAGGTTTCTGGAAATTGTGATCTGATATGTTTTGAGTGAACCAGTTACAAATTGCTTGCAAACAAATCATTCACACCTGTGCAGGGTGACAGTTCGATTTTTTTGGTTCTGTTGGGATAGCTACATTAATTAAGTCTAACACGTTGTGTAGGTATGAATGGTGTAACCTGAAATGATTTGTGACTACTTCAATTTATGTATTTTCATGTGCTGAAGAAGAACGTCTTGTTAAACTGTAGGCCGGGCAAGAATCATTTAGATCCATCACTAGATCTTATTACAGAGGAGCAGCAGGAGCACTCCTAGTTTATGACATCACAAGGTTGGTTGTTGCTATTGTCACTTGAATTGCAGGCGTTCTCTCCATGCAGGCCAGTAATGCCATACTCATCACCGTCCCATACACTCCTATGTTGGGCGTTTTCCTCTTTGGAATTACTAACGGACTGCAGATTCTTCATTGCATATAATAGAAGTGAAATGCAGTGAAAATGTGCACACAGACTTTTGGCAGATGACCAAAGCTTTATTATTGCCTTTCCATTTGTTATTGTTGATTCTCCTGTTCGAAATATCTTTTTCACTGAATCTAGAACACGGTGCCTTGGGCTGGTTATGCTTCTATTTAGTCTAACTAAGATTATACTTTCAAATTGGGTTGGTTGTGCTCAAGCACCTGTGATTTCAACTTGCCTTTTTTGGTCTTCCGTATTCATGACATCCAGAGTACACTTTTATTCTATTCACAAAAACATATGCAAATCACTAGGTCCATTTTGTGGGATATATTTGAGGCTTTCATTTTCCATGTTTTTGTTTTCCCCTCTTATATTGCCTCCAACTAAGAACCACAGGGCTTTTCTGTTGACCAGGAGAGAGACATTCAATCATTTAGCAAGTTGGCTGGAAGATGCTCGGCAGCATGCCAGTCCTACCATGACTATCACGCTCATAGGGAACAAGGGTGATCTGTCTCACCGAAGGGCTGTGAGCAAAGAGGAGGGGGAGCAATTTGCAAAGGAAAATGGGCTTTTATTCTTGGAGACTTCTGCAAGGACAGCCCAACATGTTGAAGAGGTGATATAATTTTGTTTCCAAGTGCCATGGAGCCTCAAGAATATTGGACTCTTTTTCCCCTTTAGTGTAAAATGTAACTTAAAAAGCATATTCTGCAGGCTTTTATAAAAACTGCTGCTAAGATTCTTCAGAAAATTCAGGAAGGTGTCTTTGATGTCTCCAACGAGGTAATTATCAACAGTCAGTTTGATGTGCTTAAGTTGTAGGAGTTTATGAGTTGGGATAATAAGCTGGACCGTTGACTATTTGAGATAACGGGTCCAGCGTGGGATTGGTGTTTCGCGTTATAAATCTTAATCACAATATGAAACATTAGATGCATTGCGCTAGTGCTGGTTTTCCTGGAGGAATGGTCCTGGATGATTTCCGGCCGAATGGCCTTGTGAGTTGTGACTAATATTATATTAATATTAATAATGAGTAATAATTCTATTACTGCAGTCATCTGGCATAAAGGTTGGCTATGGACGTCCTCAGGGTCCGTCAGGCGCTAGAGATGGAACAGTCAGTCATTCAGGTGGCTGTTGCAACTGACTGGGAGGAAACATTCACTTGACTGCGTCCTTTTGTACATCCTTTTCTCCCATTCTCTGCCATCCACTGTATAGATCCTATCTCAACAGTAATACTGGGACAGTTTTGACTCCATATTTGCTTGACTGTAACATTAGGTGGAGACCATCGTGAATTGATATCTGTTCAATGCCCGCATTTTTACTTGCTTCTGTCGCTCCAGTATTACTTACCACCTTTTCTTCTATGCTCACCATTTTTTTTTTTAATATCTGAATTTTCTAAGTTAAATAAGGTTGGCTGCACGGCTCCCTCCTTTCTTTCCTTCTGTCCAAACTTTTTCGCTCCACAATTTCCCCGCACAATCAAAATTGTGGGTTTTCAAGTCCTTGTAAAATACTTGTCAGTGTTCTGTTTTAAAAAAGAAAACTCATTTAATCACATTATCATTTATAAAATGTCTTCCTTGTTTTTTTTTTTGGGCCAACGACATTTGTAAAATGTTATATTTTTCATAAACTACGTGTATTGTAACTCGTTTTAAATTCCATGCGAAATACATGACTCTTTATTTAATTATATTTTAGCATGAAATGTATAAAATCTTAAAAAATGATAAGCCAATTCATTTTAAAAAAGAGAACAGAATCAATCATAACAATGAATTATGTATTAATTTAAAACATAAAATTTTAATAAATTACTCTATTTGCGCATTATAAAAAAATCAACGCTCATTCTTGAATTTAATGTAGGAAAAAAATGACAGAGCCCACTCGATTTCAAATAAGAAAAAAAAAAAATGGACAGAGCAAGCGTTGTCTCGAATAGAAAGAACAACTATGGATAAGGGCCAACGTTGCATAGTACAAAATAATTGAATTCGCAAGTTGAATAAAATTGGGAAGGCGATTGGAATGCTTTGTGCTTATTGAAGCAGTTGTATATACAAGGTACTTAAAAAATGATTAAATGAGGACCAATATTTTAATGGTGCAGAACGATATCTAAATGAAAAAAAAAATACTCCTCCGGTCCTTAATATAGGATTCATTTAACTAATTTGATTAAATTAAGAAGTTAGGTAAGTTAGTTAATTATAAAAATTGTGACACGTTTTTTTCTAAAATACCATAATTATCTTTTAATACCCCTCTCTATCTTCTACTTGATTATGGTTGATGGAGTATCTATAGAAATAATTTAGAGAAAATTGATAAATATAATAAATAGTTTTTATATTTAAAACTAAAACCAACTCAGAAATTGACTCCTATATTAAGAAAAATGAGGAGTATATGTTTTTGGGGCATATGCCGTGACCACCTTTCATCTTAATCTCGAGTGCATATGGCGTGTTGAATCCAATTACGTCAGAAACAAAAACTCTGCATATGGAATTGCACAGCTAGCGTGTATTGGTTGGATTTGGAGGCTTCGATCAATAAGCTTGTTTGCTCCAGATTCTCCTTCATTCCGATTCATAATCACTTTTCGACGTGATTTTATCAGAAGTCTGAAGTACGGAATTCCTTTTTAAAGTTGGCATTCGTCAGAATTACACTTCTCAGTTCCTGAAACAATGGCGACTCGCATGATCCTCGGAGCTATCAGGAAACGCGCCGTTTTGTTTCTGCCTCCCATTTTCTGTCTCTCTCATCCGTTTCGACTTCTAGATATGTAAGTTCTCTCCCAGAATAAGAATCTTTCAATTTATCTCTCTCTGTCTCCATCTGTTTGTAACTCTATTCTTCAAATTTAATTTAGGTTAGTACGCTGGTTATAGCGGAGCACGAAGGTGGTGCTGTCAAAGCTCCTTCTATCAGCGCGGTTGCGGCTGCCAAGTCCTTAAGTGATGATGCTTCAATTTCTGTGCTTTTGGCTGGTTCGGGTCCTTCCCTTCACGAAGCTGCTTCGCATGCTGCTTCATGTCACCCTTCAATCTCTCAGGCAAATCCCTTTGTTTTTCTTAAAATTAATTTTACCCTGAAATATCTTGTGTAGGATTTTGATATTTTTGAAAGGTGAATACTGAATAGTGAATACCATTTGTTGGATATTACTAATTTGTTACTGGTGTGTATTTTGATAGAGAAAATATCACTTGTCTCCAAAAAGATATAGGAAGTAAAAAAAAAAAAAAGCTTTGGGATTTTGATGTTTGGTGCATGCTATTTGTTTAGGTGCTTGTGGCTGATTCAGATAAATTCAAGAACCCTCTAGCGGAGCCCTGGGCTAAATTAGTTCATTTAGCTCAGCAGAGTGGTGGTTACTCGCATATTATTGCTGCCTCAAACTCATTTGGGAAAAATGTAGTGCCACGGGCAGCGGCTCTTTTAGATGTTTCTCCAATCACTGATGTTATCGGAATTTCTGAGTCTCATACTTTTGTGAGGTGCATTTTGTTCTATCTTCATTCTGTTTGATAGAAGAAAGTAACCGTTTACCGCACAAGTTGATGCTGCCCGCCTACCATTAATTGGAGCGAGCTTGATACTTACTTGGCTCAGAATCATTATCTATTGTAACATACAACTTAGTCTTAGTTGATATTATCATGCTCTTGTTTGCTCTTATAACAAGGTCCTGCACCCCCCCTCTAATTTTTAGTTTTTATGCTGTTCTGATGAGGGAGCCAATACTGCCTATTCTGGCTTTTTCTTTCATAATTTATGTTATGGATTTATGATTGATCTCTCATCTTCTGGGGCCAAAAAAAAAAAAAAGAACTCAGCTCTCTATTGCTTTATGTAAAATTGATGAGACTGATCTGTGGGGAATATTTATAATGATAAAAAGTTTAAGGTATGACAGATACAATATTGATGTCATCCTTTAGTTGAGTCATTCCCCTTGAATCTGCTTTTTTCTTAATCATGTCCAATAAAAATGTTAGTTTCTTCATCTGACCGATAATAAAGTTTTGATATCATATTGCAGGCCTATATATGCTGGAAATGCGCTTTCAACTGTCCGATACACTGGTGCTAACCCTTGTATATTGACAATTAGACCTACTTCTTTTCCAGTTTCCCAGAAAACAGTTGATTCAAAACCTAGCCAGGCTTCAATATCTCAGGTTGACCTTTCAACCTTTGATGAAGGTCAGTTTTTTGTTTCTGATGCACAGAAATTTTTGGTTTTATGTTGATAAGAAAATAGACAAGGATATAAAATTTGAAATGAACTTGTCCAATAGTTGTTAATTGACTGCTGAACGTTGTTGGAGACTCGAAAGAGCTTGTCCAATATTATGGATGATCTTCTTGGTCATTTTCATCTCTTGAATCAATTTTAACATGTCAGATATTTGAACTTATACCAAAAGGTTAGTTATTTTATTTTTCATTTTTACAGATCTTGGCAAGTCTAGATACATATCTCACACATCTCAGGATTCAGAGAGACCAGATCTTGGGAATGCACGTGTTGTTGTTACTGGTGGTCGTGCATTGAAAAGTGCTGAGAACTTTAAAATGCTTGAAAAGCTAGCTAACAAGCTTGGCGCTGCTGGTATTTGCTCTGGATGAAATTGTGATAGTGCTTCTTATATAGAGCGTTTTGTTCTCTCTTGTCACTGCATTATAGTGCACATGAATATGTTAGAAGCAGTTAAAAATTTTCGTTATTGTCAACTATAAATTCTATTATTTGTTTTCTGAAAGTCTAATTACTTCATTTTCTTTTTGCTTAGTTGGGGCCACACGCGCTGCTGTTGATGCTGGGTTTGTTCCCAATGATCTCCAGGTGACGATTTACTTTCCTTTGGAATTAAAATTATATTCCTCGCCCTATACACAATCACATACAAACAAGCCGGGGGAGAATGGGGGAAAGAAGTTTTTTTTCTAGGCTATAGCTTGACAAACTTTTTCTGAGAATACTAATGGCAATATTGCTGGGTGGAAAGGGTAAATTTTTTGAAAGCTAAGACAACAGCAACACATTAGTTAAAAATCAATTGGTCTAGAAGTACAGTGAGCACATGAAAGTGAAACATAAATCCTCAAATATTATCAATCTCAATCTTCAATAAATTAATTTATAACAAATTATACTGTTCCTAGATTGCGAATATCGCACCTTGCCGGATGATGTTTTGTTTGATCAAGGATCTGATAGGCTTTTGACATCCTCTTAAGCTGCATATAGTAATTCATCGAGCTAACAAGTGATCTCATGCTTGTTTGCTTCTGTTATTTTGATATATATAGGTTGGGCAAACTGGAAAGATTGTTGCCCCAGAGCTCTATATGGCGTTTGGAGTGTCAGGAGCTATTCAGCACTTGGCAGGGATGAGAGATTCCAAGGTCATCGTTGCTGTAAACAAAGATGGTGATGCTCCTATATTTCAGGTAATAGCTCTCGTTTTACTGGTAAAAGCTGTACAAGTAAATGCAGACTCTCATCTGGTCCAAAAAGAAAGGGTAAATTAGGCGGCTTCTTTATTTATCCCTATCTAAGCTATCTTAATGTTTATTCTCGAGACAGAATAAACTTGTGCAGACGTGGATGATCTCATGGTTATCTTTATCTTGTTTCTGCTTGAGCTTGACATTTTAATATGTTATTGCTTATTGTAGGTTGCTGATTATGGACTAGTCGGAGATCTGTTTGAAGTGATCCCAGAGTTACTAGAAAAGCTTCCTGAGAAAAAATATTCAATAATCTGCATTCCTTCATTTCTATGATCAAGATGTATCCTTGGAACTCTGTACTCATTGACAAAATGAAAAAAATGGGTAGATGCTAGTTGTGCTGTGGCAGTCATTTTAAGCAATATAAGACTTCTTCAACTATCCAGCAGTAGAAATCATGAGCACAGAAAAATATCTTTTTAAAGCTAATTTTACACCTAAAAAATAATCACAACTATTATAAATTGTGGTTGAACATGCTACAAATGACTCATATCAGGGACCATTCCTTATGCCAAGAGTATCTGGAATATGTTAATCATGGTTTCTTTTTTTGCCAGAATAATCATGGATTTATATAACGTAATTCTTCTTGGGTTGTCAAAATCTTGTTGCTCTATGAATGAGGTGTTTAATGTATGAAACAGTTCTCCAATGGAAGCCGAAGGCTCAGTTGATGAAAGGTCAATCAGGGCTGCGTGAGGATTCGAATTTCCCTTTCTCGTTATGTGACATCCATCATTGATTGCCCATGCATATTGATTAAATTAATTCCCTATGCATTTGTGAAAATCTGGAAAGTGAGAATGACACAAAAATATGGTCTCGGATTCACATTTTATATTCCAATGCATCGTACATGTTAGCGGCAGTAGGGTAATTAAATTAAACTAAATTAGATTCAAATGAACTGAAAAATAATTCTCCGGATATAAAATATATTTTATATTTTTTTAATAAAAATAATTATTAAAGATATAAAAAGTATCAAATATTTAATTTTTTCATGCAATGAAACAAATTATTTAGCTTAACGCACCGAAACAAAGTTTAATTAAAGGGTTAAGGTGTATTTAACATTTTAAAATATCTTTTTAAGTGTATCCAGCAAACTAAAGTACTTTGTGTGGCGTTCAACACATTACAATATTTTTTTAAATATGTTTAACGCCTTAAAATATTTTTGATACATCTAGCATTTTAAAATATTTTTTGGTATAGTTTGTACTAAAGCAAAAACAAAATTTTAAAGTGTTGGATGTATCGAAAAAATATTTTAAGATGTTAGATATATCATAAAATAATTTAGGGTGGTGCTAAATACATTGGAGAAAATATTTCAGGCACCCTAACCCTTAATTAAAAGCAGCATCCAACGTTTGACGAACATATGAGGCAGATTTCAGAAGATAGATTACACCCTCTAACTTCATCGAAAATTCGAAAAAGTTAAAAAGAAGTATCATATGATAGGCTCTTATAATTCCGCCTGTAATTTCACTTTGTCTATACGTATCAGAATAAATAGATGGATAAATATAATGAAGGATTGGTCCCACTAATTAGCTTATTTGTATGATCCATCACATGAAAAAGAATATACATGCATCAACTTCAACAACCACCCGCCCCCTTTACTAGTATTGTCATGTTCCCATCTAAGCCTTCGACTCCATTAATTCTCTCTCTCTCACAAAATTCTCATCATCTTCACCGTCTCTTTCATCTCTTCCTAACCTTATCTCTACTCTTCACTTAATCAGTGGATCACGAAAAATTCAGCTAGTGAACTATTTACACTTTCATGCTCCCTCACGCGGTGAGATTCAACCAGAGATTGGCTGTTTCTCTGCAGTGAGATGCAGGAAGTTACCATACAACAAAATATCAGATTGAGAATTCAGCTAGCTCAATCCCCATCAATGGCCTTCATTAGTTTTCAAGTGTATATATCAAATACCCAACTCGGCCTTTTACTAGATTTGTGCAATTGCTATGTATGTGAGACCTTTGAAACTTTGAGGTATCTTCCACATATTCTCAAGTGAAGTTACATTTTTTCGGGAGAAAGATATAAAAAGATGACAGAAAGAGAAAAACAAAGCATTAGCTTGATTGCATTGACTTATTCTATGTATGATTGATCGAAGAGTTCATACCAAAGCATGCCAAAAGGAGAGAAACTAACAAGAGTCAAGCTACTTTTGAGAGGGTTATTTCCCTCTCAAGGTAGGCCAATGATGTGGGATTGACCTGCATGAACAAGTAGTTGCCAGCAAATAAATCGCCGAAATGAACTTGACCTTCCTTCAATCTCTTCATCACTTTAGCGCATGATCTTCTCAGGGCAGACACCATCATGGCTTTCTTCCTCCACAGTCTCCTCAAGCTTGGAACTTTGAGCCTAAACCTCCTCCTAATAGGAATCCTTCTGAATCTGAACCATTTATTCTTCGGCCTCACAACCACTCTCTCTCTAACTTCACCATCAACCCCAGTTTCTGAAGGTCTGAGTCTCTGGTAACGGAATTTGCCAGCAGAAGCCATCTCAATCAAAGACATGATTAAGAATCTCCCCTGGGAGAGAAAATTTGACTCTATGAACCGTTGCCGTTCCTTCCTGATCTGAGAAATGGTAGGACGGGTAAAAAAGAGAGAAGAAAGATGATATTTAAGGTTCGAAGAAACTGTGGTTGAGTGCATTAAATGGAAGAGAGAAAGGTGGCCACACAACGTTGGTGGGAACGGTGGCATCACATTTAATGATATTTGTGGGCTTTACATTAAGTAGAAAAGACGTTTATGAAGCACTTAACTTCTCGCACATGGTTGGCAATGCAATCTCTTAATTTTGTGAGGAGAGTTATCATTTAATTCCGAACTAAACTGTCCACAATGATGGATACACAGTTCCAAGGTCAGATCCATTTGTTAGGTCCTGCGCGTAAATCAAGTTCAGACTACATTTATTATATTCATCTGTTTAATTTTACATTGAAAACCATCAAAACTATATCTGTAAAATCGAACGTGTAGTAAGATTAATAATTTGGCGTGAATTCTTATTAATCTACTTAAATTAATCAACTAGTTCTTATATTAAAGACTAGAAGTAGTACAAACAGAAGAAAACGACGTAACACAAGCAATTGCGTGTTCTATCGTTTTCTCTTTTGTCGTCCTCAAACTTGCACTGTCTTGTTTATATGTATTGAAGATTTACTTTCCACCGTCACGAAATTTACCAGATTTCACGACTTCTGGAATTAGAACTTGGTGATCACACATGAAGTTTGCTAACAGAAGTCACCAGCAACGTAAGGACTCGCATAAATATTCTTCCTTAAAACATCTCTATCTTGCGACGTTATCCAACATCCCCATCATTTTCCAAATTTTTCATACGTTGAAGATATATATATCAGTATCCAGGAGTCTATTGTACAAAACGATATTATAGAGGTTCGCTGCAATTATTCGGATTCATTAACTGCATCAGAGCTTTGAAATGACAGGGTAAAAGGGACAATGAAACAAATTAAGCAACTAGACCAAAGTCAGAACTGCCACTTCTGTTTTAATGCTCAAGTAAACTTGTTTGTTTCATTTGATATTGTCAAAGGATGTTACAGGGAAAAGCTGCTTTAATTTCCGCTGATGCTGGAGAAGCATACCCAAATACAGATTAAAGTTATATGCCGGTATTTAATCTGCTGTACCAATCATAACTTATAAATATATATGATAAATTTTATATTATGGAATAGATGGGTTGGCTGATCATTATATAAAAAGAGAAAAAATAAAAAATATTTTCTTATAAAAGGTAAATATGTTGTTTTAATAACATGAAAGGAAGCAAGCACGGATGCACTGCTACTTTCATTATTTTGTATGGGTTGGAAGGTAGGCCCATCCTCAAACAAAGCGCGTAAAAGCCATATTTCTTTTTACATCTGTATCCAGCTTTCTAGCTTTTACTCACACCATATGGGCCAGTTCCTGTTTTATTTAAAAACATTGAACACACTATGGTGGGTATAGTCTACTTGGAGCCTGTCCCATGGTTTGGATCCCAGGCTTGCCAAACACCTAGGAAAAAACAGAAACTATGGTTTTGAGTCAAAACCATGGTTTGAAGCTTAAAACTATGGTTTTAGAAGAAGTGAATCCATTCTGCTTCTGACTCAAATGAAAGAGTATGATTGTGCATGTAAAGTAGATCTTAACGATAATATAATTTTAACATTCCTCAATTATTTTTTTATAAACATATTTAATCTTATATTTTATAAATATATATACATATTAATTATATTATTTTATATATTATTAATTATGTTGGTAAAAAAATATATTATTAACATTTTTATTTTTTCAAATTAAAATATATTATAAAATCTATCTTTTATGTAATTATCATATTAACTTATGCTTTTTTGGTAAAATTTGTACATATAAAAAATTCTTCTGATAACAACTATCCAAACACTCTCATTTATCATAATCATTTTTTCACAAATCTATTTTTTTTCAGAATCTATTCTCCAGAAGTTATTCTCCAAACCATGGTTTGGTTTCATCCAAACACCCCCTTAATTAGCCATATATTAAGGGGGGTCCCAAATTTTTCTTGTCCTTCCACTTCACTGTTAGGAGATATCGCAAACACGGACTGCAATAGTATATATTACCAAATTCTTCACTAAAATTATAACAGAAAAATGACTATTGTTCAGAGAATCAAATAACATAACATGGTACTGAATTGTAAAATCTAAAATGATACTTTTGGCAAAAAAAGAATTATAAAATGATACTCCCGTTCCACATTTTCATCTAGAAAATTTAAAAATAGCAAACTGGATTCACGCTACAAAACTGAACTCACATGGTTTTTCCCTTCTGAGTTTCTGCTCCACAGCAGATAACATCGAGAGAGTTGTTCCTAACCCAAACTTCTACAACTCTCTGGGTATCTCCAAATTTACTCCTTTTGGTCTCTATAAATAAATAAACAAACGAGCACTATGTTCAGCCCGAGATGGTGCGCTAAAGCTAACCCAGTAGTGAAAATGGGGAGGGCAAAACCAGTGCACAGTGGGTTTTTCTTGATGACGACATGGCTTGTAGTTATATCTGCCGTGAGTGTAGAGCTCAAAGACTCGCCTGCTTGCTCTTTCCCAGCAATCTACAACTTTGGCGACTCCAATTCTGACACAGGCGGGATATCGGCCGCCTTTGTGCCAATCTCTGGGCCATACGGCGAAGGCTTCTTTCGTAAGCCTGCAGGGAGAGACAGTGACGGCCGTCTCATCGTAGATTTCATAGGTCTCTTCTTCCTTTGCTTTTCTCCAGGTGACTGAATCATTTTCTGCCTGCTAATTCTGTTTAGTATGATGCAGCTGAAAGACTGAACCTGCCATATCTGAGCGCTTATCTGAATTCTCTTGGAACCAATTATCGTCACGGCGCCAATTTTGCCACGGGAGGATCAACGATCAGAAGGCAAAACGAAACCATCTTCGAATATGGAATAAGCCCTTTCTCACTTGACATTCAGATTGTGCAGTTCGATCAGTTCAAAGCACGTGCTACCCAACTCTACCAACAAGGTGAACCAATACAGAGTGATAATTATGCTAATTTGAATAATATCTGTCAAAGAGTGTATTCCTGTCCTCATTTCATTTATAGTTTTGGACTGTAAATCCTATAGGCTTCAGACTTTTTCAGAGTTTACCCAGATGTCTACGAAGCATATGATTTCACAATATTAAATCGTATGAAAGTAAACAACTATTGTCATGCACAATACATTTCCTCGTCATTGAATTAGTGTTTCCTGAAATTTAGCCAATACCTCAATGGAGAGAAGCAAGCTTCCGGTCCCGGAGGAATTTTCCAAGGCTTTATACACATTTGACATTGGTCAAAACGACCTGTCGGTTGGCTTCAGAAAGCTGAACACCGATCAACTTCGTGCAGCCATCCCAGATATTGTCAATCAGTTGGCCTCTGCTGTTCAAGTAAGTAGAAGGGATAATGCTTTCTTACTCAGAGAAATGAGTATCTGAACCCTGTAAAAGAATGCAAATAGTTCGTTGCTAATTAATTGAAATGGAAATGATGAATAAGATGCTTTCAGAATTTATACCAACAAGGAGGGAGGGCATTCTGGATACACAACACAGGTCCTATTGGGTGCTTGCCTGTGAACCTATTTTACAAGCATAATCTACCACCTGGCTATCTTGATCAGTATGGCTGTGTGAAGGACCAAAACGACATGGCTATAGAGTTCAACAAGCAGCTTAAAGACAGAGTGATCAAGCTCAGGACGGAGCTCCCCGAGGCTGCAATTACGTATGTGGATGTCTATGCTGCAAAATATGGACTAATCAGCAACGCCAAGACTGAAGGTAGGTGCCTATCCTGATAAATCTATATTGTAGGATGTTTTCTACATAAATTGCATATTTTTATCATCTGTTTCATTTTTCAAATATTTTGACAGGATTTACGGATCCACTGAAGATTTGTTGTGGATATCACGTAAACGACACCCATATCTGGTGTGGGACAAAAGGAACTGCAAATGGAAAAGAAGTATATGGTGCTTCTTGTGAAAACCCTTCGTTATATGTCAGCTGGGATGGGGTTCATTACGCTGAGGCTGCTAACCATTGGGTTGCTAATCACATACTCAATGGCTCTTTGTCGGACCCACCGATTCCAATCACCCAAGCTTGTTACAGGCATTAATAACAGAACGTGTCAGAACTATATATCAACCTGGGGATTCTTATGGGATGTCATATTACACATTGACCAGACGAATGAATTCTAGTTATGTGATATCTTGTGATATTGGAGTTTCTTTTATTCGAAAATGCTGTGTGCGATCGTTTACCCTTTGCTCGTTCCCATCCTCTTTACTCCTTCGCTTAAAAATATTGAACCTATTCTGTAATGTAGTTTCCATGATAGTACAAACCAGACAGGCCATGACTAAATGCATTTCCAGTTCCAAAACAAGTCATTGTTGCAAGTGAATATATTACAACCAGACTAAAAGACACCAAGGGTTGAGAAGCATTGTACAAGAGCTTCAAGTAGCTTATTTACATTAAGGCAATACAACTACTCTACTTTCTTTGTTAAAGAAAAAAATTACAATATTTCAGCATCGGTACAAGAGTATACAATATGCGAAAGAAGTCAGCGCTTCGTGCAATAAATATGTGGCGAGCTGATTTTGAAGTTTGGCAAACACCTAAAGCAAACTAAGAAATAAACGGACGAATTCCTATATAACTATGCATGCTAAGATACAAAAACATAGTACCCCCACTGCGCACTCGAGTAAAGACAACTGCACACACCACGACAAACGCTAGAACTTGCATAGCGGATTAGCAATCCAATTTTGACAGTATCCATCACCACTCCGACAAACTTTGTGTACAAATTTGTAGAAATGATTGAAAAACACAAAATCTTTGCACTACCTGATAAATCCAGGGGTTGTCATTAACGTATGATGATGAAATCGTCAATGAAAATGAAATGGTTGGTTCAGCGTGGTGCACTCAATATATTTTTATTCAATTGAAAAATAACATACAAATCTTCAAATAAAAAATGGATCAAGAGCCTGGCATTTCTTGTGTGAGTAAATTTCACCATCTAAACGTAATCCCCCAAGCTCTTACTGCGAACAACCAAGTATCGTTTTCAAAAAAGAAGAGTAAACGACAATTTTCCCCCCTTATGTGATCCATGCGAATGTCACTGTCTAATGTTTCGTAAATCTCAATTATATATTTAAAAACGCAGTACGATATGATACCAGAAGAAAATTGCACTTCAAAACTGATTTTACTCACCAAAATAGTTGGCATAAATTTACAATACAATCATTCGATTATAGACTGGATGACTCCAGCGCCCACAGTCTTTCCACCTTCTCTGATTGCAAATCTCATTCCTTTTTCACAGGCTACCGGAAAAATCAGCTCTACAACCATCTTTACACGGTCTCCAGGCATAACCATCTTAGACTCTTCATCCTTATCATTCATGATTTTAGAGACCTTCCCAGTAACATCAGTAGTCCTCATGTAGAATTGAGGCCGGTATCCAGTAAAAAATGGTGAGTGCCTACCTCCCTCCTCCTTTCTCAGCACATACACAATAGCAATGAACTTCGTATGGGGCGTGATGGCGCCGGGTTTGGCAATAACCATTCCTCTTTGAACGTCTGTTTTCTGAATGCCCCTGAGTAAAAGCCCCACATTATCACCTGCAATCGCTTCATCAAGTGTTTTTTGGAACATTTCAACCCCAGTAACTGTTGTTGTACGTGTTTCTTTAACACCCACTACATCTACGGGGTCCCCAACCTTAACTGTGCCCCTCTCGACACGCCCTGTCGCCACAGTACCACGACCAGTAATGGAAAACACATCTTCAATCGCCATAAGGAACGGCAAATCAGTTTGTCGCTGTGGAATTGGAATATAACTATCAACAGCATCCATCAAGTCATAAATCCTATCGACCCACTGATCCTCTCCTCTCTTGATTTTGGGGTTTGCCATCAATGCCTGTAAAGCCAACAATGCCGAACCTGAAACAATAGGCACGTCATCACCCGGGAATTCATACAGAGTCAGGAGCTCCCAAACTTCCAATTCCACCAACTGAAGAAGCTCTTCATCATCAACCTGGTCCTGTTTGTTCAAGAAAACCACAATATTTGGCACACCCACCTGTTTCGCCAACAGAATGTGCTCTTTGGTCTGAGGCATTGGCCCATCCGCGCCTGAAACTACCAAGATCGCGCCATCCATTTGCGCCGCACCGGTGATCATGTTCTTCACATAGTCGGCATGCCCGGGGCAATCCACATGAGCATAGTGTCTGCTCTCAGTTTCATACTCAACCGTTGCGGTGTTGATCGTGATCCCTCGGGCTCTCTCTTCCGGTGCCGCATCGATTTCGTCATACTTCTTGGGTGCGCTATTCCCCATAGAGGCCAAAGCCATGGTAAGAGCAGCTGTGAGAGTAGTCTTCCCATGGTCAACGTGACCGATCGTGCCAATATTAACGTGGGGCTTCTTCCTCTCAAATTTTCCCCGGGCTGCTCGGACGACAAAGGCCCCACGACGAGTAGATTCGATGAAGTTGGAGGCGCCGGCTACGAGCGATGAGGGCAAGACGGATGTGAGTTTGAAAGAAAGGAGATTGCGTTTTGAGTGTGAACTGTAGAGGAAGAGATGGGCGGAGGATGAGATTGAAGAAGAAAAGGATGGTGAAGGTCTGAGAGCGACCTCGGAAAGAGAAGGCGTGGGAGACGCTCCGAAGATGGAGGCCATGGATCGGGAGAGAGAGCGGCGAAGGGTGGCGGAGTAAACGAAGAATAGCGAAGGAACTTGGATCGTAACAGTTGCTTTGCCATGTACGAATTCAATTTATTCTCAACACAAAAAGGGTCCTGACGTCCGTCGTCCTGCCCCTCCCTGCTAAACAAGTAACTAATTTCTAAATATTATTATGGGATAATTAAAATGAGTTTCCAGGCAAAAAAAATAATTGAAAAACAAATATCAGATGTTGCTATTCTCATTATAAAACTTGTTATTATAAACTATTAAAGTTATTATTAAAAGCTTTTAGTAATTATTTCTCTTCTGTGAAACTTGATTGTAATTTTTCCAATTATTATTTGCCTTACACAACAACCTAAAAATCTGATAACTAATTTAAAAAAGTTTACTAGTCATTTGTAAATAATGATGAATAACTCCACTAACAACTTAAATGTAATAAATTAACAAATAAATATGTTAGAAGGTTTTAAAAGGAGAGTTAAACCTAATTTTCAAAGCACTTTCTATTATAGCCTGCAAACGAGATTTTATAGTTCAAACAATAAAAGATACTTTAAGAATTAGATTTAACTTTTATTTTAAAAATCTTATAATTACAATAGATGCAATATGTTATTTGAGAATTCGACTCCTCTTACTCTTAGCATCGTGCTGAACATACCCGACTTCCATTCCGTTAAACAATCACTCCATGCAGAGTCCACATTCATTCCGCTAAAACCACCATAGTCGAATTTTGATAACAATGTTCGTGAAGAGAACTTTTACAATTTTCAAGATATCCTTTGTCCTTTTTTTTATTATCTTAAGTAAAAAAAAATGGCTTATTTTGTCAACCACTAATTAAGGAAGTACTGTATCCAGTTTTTAATATAAAAATCTATTTGGTTTTTATTTTTTTCTTAAATATAAAATCTCAATTCATTTTATTTCCCATATTTATTTATTTTTTTTAAAGTAACCTTTTTAATAATGGTAATTTTAGTCACTACACTTATTAGTAAGGATATTTTAGAAAAGACAATACTTATTTATTATGAATAACTAATTTAACTTATTTTCTTAATCTATTCAAATTAATTAATTAGTTTTTATATTTATGATGGGAAATAGTATTATTTTGCGCTCTGTCCGCTTTTGAAAGCTATATTAATTCCCTGCAGTCCAGATGCAATGGATAATGGAATAACAAGTAAACTTCCAAGATCCATTACCAGAAGATAACCACGTTACTGTGTGTAAACCAAACCTTTAATCATTCACTCAATTTTTGATTGTCGTCTACCGATTGGAGAGGAAGATTCACACACACAATTGATGATGTGATCACGCTAATTTAATTTGTATACATGTTTGCATAATACTGTTATTAATATAAGAATTCATTTGATTTTTATTTTAGTCATAAATATAAAATTCGCATCTACTTTATGTCTTTATCTCTTATATTTATTTATTTATTCTCAAAATAGTCTTTATAATAATGATAGTTTTGACTAATACACTTGATTAATAAGGATATTTAAAAAAAAAATCTATTTATTATAAATAATTAACTTAACAAATTTTTTTAATCTAATCAAATTAACTAACTAGCTTTTATATTAACCACGGAAAGTAATAAAAGAACTTGAATGACCTCAAGGTTACTTTGCACGAAATTGAAAACTCATGCAAATACCAAATCAAAACTCAAGTCATAGTGTGCATTGAAAACGACTCAGGAAGCGTTGAGAAACACCAAAAACTATTTTTTTGCAAACCAAAATAAATTCCCTCACATATTTATTTCATATATAGTAAAATCATTGTTTCCATCTAAAGATCCCCTCAGCTTAACAAGCGTTCAGAAATTGCATCCGCTTAAATTTTAATTTCGACCAAAATCTTGATTGGCTATCGTCTTTTTATTTAAAGATGGAATAAGATAAAAACATCCTTCAGATATGTTCATTTTGGAGAGTCCTGTCGCAAACTGCACCGTTAGAATAAGATTCGTTGCTGCTATCTATTTTTGAGTTAATCCAATCCAACTTCACTGTATGTATAAATTTACTACACAACACAGTAATGTTAGGGAGAACTCTATCTACCTTAAAGACACAAGAAAACATACTGTTCATTCTGTTCACTTTTCTTTTCTTCTTCCTCGTGGCTGCGGAAGGTACAGAGGGCTGTGGATGGATCTGCTTGTAGAATTACGTGGGCCATCAACGCCATTATCGTGTAGGCCCGAATGAAGAAAAAAAAAAAGAACAAAGAAAGGGAAGAAAAGAAAGAGAAGGGTCAGAAAAGATAAAAAGAACTTATTAAGCAACCGGCTCATGGTAACATTAGGCCAGCGTCTACTTTATTCACAGCTCAATTCATTGGCGATGTCCATCTGGCAAAGGAACCACTTTATGGAAGGGCACGATCCTTTGAGGTAAAGATCCATCTTCCTCGTCATCATCAAATTCCAGTAAATAACTGCCCAATCAACTCAGAAGGTGAATAACCATAAGGCACAAACATTACTGTTGATTATAATTGATATGATTCGATTTGATATGAATTTACTAGTAATGCTTTTGACCAAATCCCCATATTTATTATTTCATTCATTGTAATTATTCTAGAATAATCTTGTATTTATTAGGATTGCTCTTCTCCCTGTGTATATATGCCCTCATGCATTGAGTGAATGAACACAAAACAGTTTACACTCGATCTCTCCTTTTCCACTCCTAATAAAAAAACTGAAAAGGAAATTTCAACGAAAACCTTATCACCCATTTTAAAATACCAGGTGTTCAGGTTTTTCCCCCTCTTGCAATAAAATTTTGAATAACACTGCCTAAGGAGAAACGGGTAGCTCATCTTCCCTCCATAATCTTATCTCACCTATATCTCAATGAGATTTAAACAAGAGAGTTTCACCTGCAAAGTGCTGAAGCACTTTGGCATTCCCAAAAGATGAGTGGGTCATATTTTATACAATGAAGACATACAAGGAAAGCAGTGCCACGTCACAGAGTTTCTGCCACTAATTATATTCCACTCGGCTTGAATGCTATGCATTTAGAAGATATGTTAAGGGCCATTACCAGTTCGATGAAAGTAATAGACTGTACCCAATTATCCATGAACCATACATATATCATGCTGCCAGATTTATTTTCTAACACAAAAATTTAACCTGGCTTTGCAATGATTCTTCATACTTAGCAATTAATTGTGATTTGTCTGATTTTCATAAATAGTGCACCTATATTAAGTTCACAAAAATCTTTATGGATCCTTTCCCTTATCAGAAAATATAGATTTCAATCACATTATAACTTACTTTCGAATGACAAGAAGGTAGGGGTTTATTATTTAATCTTAGTTAAAAAGATTTGCGGAGATAATGAAGAAAAATCGTGTATCTAAGTTGTCCGGTTCTTTAAGCAACAAGGCTATAAAATGAAAATTGGCCAACTGAAAATAATGCGTATTTTATATGAAAGAGATCAATATGATTTCACTGGGTTTCTTCAGATAAATGGACAATAATTATAACCGAAAATGAAGTCCAACAGAATATACTTACTCATCTGTCTTCCTCTGCAGATGTGAAATGATGGAAATTACCCCAGAACATGCACAATATCAACAGTTCGTTTGATGTCAAAGTCAAAGAAGATGTAAATAGAGAAGATTAACAGATTGCAAAATATTTGAAGAGGAAACCCAACCAGGATATAATTCTAGCATAGCAATCAAACGATAGATTTTTCACCTTGCGATGGCCATTGACTACTGTGGCTTTATAAAGGGCAGTAGTCCCAGGATAGACTGCCAAAACTTGCCTTCCATGAGGGAAATCTGGAGCACCAGCAGGATCATTCCTCTTGGGGAAAGGAATAATATTTGCCACGGGAAGCCTGTATTTTCTGCATGCATAAAAAAGAAACAATTTATACTTAACAATTCAATGAATCAAAAGGAATGATTCCCCCACATAGACCATCTAGGTAAAACTATAGAAATGGCTGTTAGTGTATGGGTATCAAGCACACAAGTTTCCCTGGGAATTGAACAATTTTCAGTCCCTGAATACAATGTCATAGCATCAAGAGCACCCAACCACAAACCCTAAAGAGGAGTAAAACCTACTCTCAATGTGTAAATTGAGATCAGAAATGTTGGCATCGGTTTCAGGCTTTCAGCCTCACTCAGTGCGGTTACCATGATAGTTTACAATTTTCTATGTAAAAGTGAAACCATCACGTAAAAGAAATTTTTATTCGAGTAACATCATCAGCAATGTATCACAGAATGAATATTTCAGAAAATTAAATATAAAAGAACATCCACATAGGTTACCTTTGGCCACCGCCCTCTTCATCATCACCAGGTTCCTCATCTAGTACCTCAAATCTGTAAAATTGTATTTGCAAAAAACCAAATAAAAATCTAAAGGGACAACTAAAAAAGATTATCCCAACAGGAAAATGTTTTTATACATTCTTTCAAACAATAGTTACAAACCAATAGATGGGCAAAGTTGAATTGTATAAATTGAAGATCTGACCTCATAAAATATAGCTATAAGTTGGTCCTATTACAAACTATTCAATTTGTACGAACTTTTGAAGTTGACAATCTTGGATGGAAACTTACTCTTTTGATTCCTTGTCAAAATGCATCACTTTAACAACAAACCATTCATCTTTATCAGCATCATGTGGCGTAACCCTAGCTGCCACCTGAGAACACATTAACGTCACAAGTAGAGTTAGAAAACTATCATGTACGAAAATTGGTTAGATTCATTTATAAAAAATAAAAAAAGGGAGAGCAATCAACAGGATAATGGCCCATTAATATCTAATATTGATCGAAATCTAAGGCAATATGTACCTGCTCACCCTTAAGACTAGCATAAATCTCAAGTTGATTTCGCATACTAGGAGATAGCCTTGAAATATCTGAGTCAGACTTCAGTCGTTTCTTTTTCTGCTCATTGCCTTCTGCAACACAAATATTGTCAGCCAGAAATGGTACAAAACTGTC